CTAACATCGGTCAAAGGTGCCTCACATTTCTGTGAGAAAGGTCACAAAGGTCAGACAAGGTCAGCCCTCTTCTTTAACCTAAGAGCAAGAATGCATTTACCTGACTCTATGTTGTTTCAGTAAACAACACTTGTTTTCCAGAGTTTTAAGTTTGTCCAAAAGCTACAGGAGGTTTTATAACGAGATCATACAGAACTATGATAGATCAGCATGACAGTACTGTTGTTAATCTTTCTTACTGTATCTGCAACAAAAAAATAAACTCTGGACTACATATTTAGGACTGTGACCACAAGCGCATTAGCGTTTTCAACTGCAGGTTCAATGGGTGAAAGGGTGTGGCACATGCGTATGATGAATGGGAGTTTAATGACGTTGACTTTATGCACTCCACCAAAGTGAACACAGTAATAATGCAGCTAAAAGAATGACTCGGCTGTTTAATTCATACACTGACAGCACAAACAAAATCCCTGAGCTGCTTCCCAGTATGTGGGAGCACCAGTCTGCACTGGTTGATAGCGTATACTGTAATTCCTCTAATTAAAGAGCAGTACTAAAAGTGTTCAATAAAAATACAGATGTGCTAGTCCTGAGTATCCAAAAAAGGAGGGCAAGAAATGTCTGCTACTTTGATAAAAGAGTCTATATGAAACTATAGATAATAAAAAGAAGAAGTGCATCAAAGTATAAAAACTACAAACACTACAGGCAGCCCATTTCAATCAGAAAACAGAGTTGGTGAATGTCCTGTTAAGGGCATGTTACATGGTATATGTTACCCAGCTGGAATGCATATGAGGATGAAGTTTAACAACAAAAAGGTCCAGGATTTTTCATTTTGGAAATGCATTTAGTTTTATTAATTTTATTGTGACCCTAGCTGCTGTAAATAACCACTTCTGTCAATGATGACAGGAATCCAACAGAAGCAGCCAAACCCAACGCTGATCATATCCAAGTCATTTGTTTTGGCCTGTTAGTGATATTATTATTCACAAAAAGAGAAATCCACATGGAGAATTAAAGTGATTACATGATAACATTAGAGTCCAGTCATGACCCATATTGATATCTTTGCTACTGAATTCTGCATGACAAGGAGTTGCAAATAGCCAACTGATAAATACAGCTAAGGAAAAAGCTCATGTGGTCTCTGTCATTCAGCTACAGGCAGGAATCTATACTTAATTTGTAATGTACCCTCTATAAATGCCATTCATTTTTACTCTTACAGTTTATTTAGCTGGCCTGGTGTGTGTATGTAATACAGTAGTGTTTATGAATGAAAATAACATCAAGTTCAAGAGGATACTATTTTGACGCTCGGGTCACTGCATGATTCCACAAAGAAATGCGCTGACTCAGCCCTGCCATGGGGACATGTGCCAGAAAAGACAACTAATTCAAACCAGCTAATTTTGACTTTTGTTTCCAGTCAGTTCATTCATGCCTCTCTATACAAATGCTGACAAACCTTTAAAAAGCTTTAACTCTGCTCTTGTTCCTCATTGATCACTGTCTTCGCTCCTGTGACTTCTTCCAAGATTGCCTGTGCCAAAATCATGCATGTGCAACTCTATCATTTAAAGATATACATTTAAATATCCTACAACTGCCCTCAGGTAAATACAGGTCTCCCTTTAACTGATTCTAGATTGGAAAAAAAATATATATCAAAAACAAAGGTGGCGACCCATTTTGACTCATGGCCCTAATGTTCAATTCAGCAGAGCAAACAGCAACAAAAGAAAAACTACTTAACGAAAAACAAAAAATGTCACTCACTATAAGAATTCAGCTGCTTATAAGATCAACCATAAAAATCACACTTTTTTTTATTCATGATATAATAGCCATTTTAATTCCCTGTGCTAGTACAGTGTCTTTTTAGGGAAGTAAGGTTAAACAATAGCAATCTACAGGCCAGACCTAATGCAACTGACAACATAAAGACAAATGAAGTTTCCAATGGACAGAGTGAGAGGCTAGCCATTGAGTCAGAGGCCAAACACTGGCTGGCATGTGACAATGGGAAACTATTAGAGCAGATAAGCGGAGCACAGCTGCACGAGTCTGACCTTGTTCCCTGTCCATGATGAGGGAAGTCATACATGCAAATAGGCAGCTATAAAAGGACACTGCGTGGTTTATGATCTAAGAACAAGGAAAATAAACTAAACAAGCATCAAAGGACATTACATGGAGTAGTTATGTATGTAAATGTCATAACATTTACAACAGCATTTATTTATCTTTTACATTACCTTTTTAAAGTAAAAGAGAAGTTGTCTGTTCAGGCATGGAGTTTGATGATCTTATAACAGCTGAGCAAGACAATTTAGTTTAACCCCCGACAGATTTTTAATTTGTTAGAGACAATCATCTGCTAGTATGATGGGAGTGTTTATCTGCTCCACACTGAGCAAACGCAAACTCAGAATCATCACATTTTAGCTGATGTGCGATTAAATTTACACCCTATGATAACTCCATAAAATATTACAGCTGTGTAATTATTTACCAAACAGGATTAAGTTCAGTTCATCTCGGCACAGCACTCTGTCTAGTTGCTTCATGCACAAACGTTTAGTGATCAGATGAAGTAGCTACATCCTCTCCTCATCAATAACAGAAGCAGTACTTCAGTTGGTAGTCACTTCTAAAACAAAGTTGAAGCATAAACACAGAGCCGAACTGTGCAGCTGCGTTGCACGGTGCACACACTGCTCAGAGAGAGAAAACCGATGGGTGCTCCCCACCTCACCACTTCCAGCGTTCAGAATATCATGTTTCACAGTTACAAGAATACTGGAGGTCTTCATGTCACCACTTGACAACTCAATGATGAAACATGAATATAAATAAAAATATACTTCTATTGTAAGTGACTACACCCATGGAGCCTTTGGTATCTGTGGAAACAATACAAAATCATAGCTACTGTCTTATGTCCCTATAATGTTTAATTTGGCAGCGATGACAGCTACTGTACAACAATAAACAAATAAAGCAGCAATTACTCCAATAGGAAAAAAAATATTACAATATTTGCTTGCAATAAATTTAAAGATTAAATAATAAAAGTTGTGGGCATGTTAAATTTCCATTGAAAATGGAGCTGCATAAAGAAGACTGATAGAAAGCGAAAAACTTTGTAACCGACAACTTTAATTTACAGTGTGCAGTTTATATGCTTATCCAGAATGATTTACAAGTGCAACAGCAGAAGTCAACACTCATGAGGTCCGTCATCACAGACAGTAAAGCAGTGAAAGCATAGTTGTAGCTTTGTAACAAAGACGTATGGAACTGATCAGGAGGAGAGTGTGAGCGTACTGAACCACAGCAACAAGCCTAACGAGTTCCCCAGGTCCACAGAATGGGTGTTCGTCTTGTTTTCAGAGAGAGGGCTTGAATTCCTGAGCAAATCTCTACAGCAGTGATGGGTTTGAAAATGGAGCACCAGCTTTGAAATGAAGGGAGAGGGGGGTTGCTCAGTACGCACCTCCCTGTAGGAGAAACTAATGCAAACCATCTGCTGTCATACCGACTTGCTATTCAGCATCTGGCAGAGAAGGACCCAGTGAGCGATGCTGGTGTCTGCTACTCCAGACAGTGAGGATGACAATCAGACTGTTTTCTCTCTCTTCTACTCTCTACATGAGCTGGCACCATCCTTAACCTCCTCTAAAAAGCTCTAAAGACAAAACCTACATTACTTTCAGCAAGTCTTAGAAACTGTTTGAAAGAGTTTAGATGAAAGTTTTATCTCTCAACACCATTATATTCACAACTCTGTCATTGCTATTGAGTATTTCCTGCTGTCATTTAGGTCACCTCACAGGGAGAAAACAGCTGCTGTTCATTCGCTCACAGGCAAATACACAAAAATACTGCAGTAAAAAGAGTGTGTAAGGGATAACAGCTTCACAAAAGCAGAATTAAGGCAGGAATTCTGCATGAATATATAATTTTTTTTTTTGCTTTTATATTTTTTGTCATGGCTCAAGTGTAAAAGCTCTGTTATGCTGACAATGCTCCTTTGGGGTTTTCCTCTGGGTAACCTGACCTACAGGTTCCATACAATGCTTAAGATGGCAGAATGCTCACAGGTTTCTGTCCTGCCTATTTCAAATAGACATTGTGTGTATGTGAACAGGTTTGAAGACGCTGTAATGCATGAAACATACTGTACAGAGACATGGGATTATTCAAGAGAGGATAACTTGAAGTTTTGAGTTCTTCAGAATATTCCTGAAGGTAAACTTAAACCCAAAACAAACATATACTTTGTGTTCTTGAGGCAAATTACAACACCTTCAGTTAAGTGCCGTCTCCTTGCTGTAAGAATGTGCTGAAGAGCTGCATCAAGCTGTATTATTATGTTCAGCCAGAGTGGGATTTCTGCCACAGAGGACAGTGACTTGAGGAATTGTTGCCAAAACACAAGGATGAGGCCACACAATGTCCTCCATAACTTAGGTCTAGGCGTGTCAGGAATGGCATTCAGTAACCAGGAAAAACCTGTCTCCCTGTAATGCACAACAGGCTGCACACATACACAGTAGACACCCTCCACCTGACACACGCTCCCTGGCTGCCTCTTCCTCTTCCTCCAAGACTAACCGGTTTTTTGAAAGATGGCTGCACCTGATACACCTGACTGATGTTTTTAAATGACATCTCTCTGGATGTCACTCAGTCAGTGCCTTTTCTAATAACCTTCACTGCATCCATAACAAGTCTGTGACTGTCAGGACTGTTAGTACTTGTGGGATTCATGATAAATATGAGAAAAGCACTTCCAAAAATAAATGTCTAATACAGAGTACCAACAAATTTTTTACGTTTTCCATGACAAGGCAACTAAGGAAACTTAATCTAATTTTAGAATATTATTGGCTAGGCCTATATATCGATTAAACATTGCTCTGTGTTAAATATTTTTTTTATATTGACTGTACAAAACAATCTCCGCCAGCGTAAATATCACTCACCATCCTCTCACTTCAACGCAACAGTCGCAGTCTTCCCTGTCCGCAATCCAGTCTTTGTGCGAACCTCAGTGAAGTTCAAAGTGTTTCAAAAAACTCTGAGTCGGTTAACCTAAAGCCAGAAGACAATATCCACGTTTACAGACGATATTCCCGATAAACTCCTGACAGCATGGATGCGGCTGGCTCATCGGTGTCGTCCGTCCATCGCGCGGTCAGATGTGAGTCTTTACACTGACAGCGGCGGAGCAATGTCCAAACAGCGAGCTGCTTAGTGATTTACAGAGGGAGCTGAGCAGTGCCCTCAAAAACCGCCTCTCAAACATAACACAGGAAACTGAGCCGGAAGGTCCAATCACAGGGCGCCGAACGTGGAATATGCTTAAATATTCATTAGTTACTGGGAGTTAAACAACTGGGCATGCGCAGTTTTGGGACTTCCTAACAACAGACTGAAATAGAGCCGCAGTCACTTCATACTATGAACTCTCTATTTACTCACTGTCTGTGCTGACAGCTCCAGTACATCCTGAAATACAATAATTTTGGTTACATTGTCAGTGGTGTAGAAAGTACTTAAGTTAGAAATACTCTAAAAGTCTCACTCACTGAATCTAAATGTCATGCATTCAAAATTATAGTGAAGTAAAAGCACAAAAGTTGCCTATTAGCATCAAAATATCTTATCTTGATAAAAAACTGAATTTATCTTCATAATTCATTTGTGAATTATATTTTGTATCATTATTCTGAGTCAGTAAAGTAACAATCTACTAAAATTACCAAATAAATGTAGTGCGATTGGTGAAGAGTAGAATATTATCCTCTGGAGTGTAGTGGAGTAGAGGTGTAAAGTAGCAGAAAATGGAAATACTCAAGAAAAGTACAAGTAGCTCACACTGTACTTAAGTACAGTACTCCACCACCGTGCATTGTAAAACCAAGTTTTAACTTTAACCTGTATGTCTTCTTTGTCAAATGAAGCCTTTTAGTGCTTCAGAGTCAAGCTAATCGGTTACCAACAGGAGCTGTGTTTAAATATAAAATGATAATTCCAAGCATGATGCCTTTTCCTTTTTACATGCTGCTTGTAGAATAATCATTTGAACTTCATATATGGCTGCTGGGGATCCCAAGTGACTTAGCGTCTCAATATCACTGGTGTATATCTGGTTCATGTCGTTTGATTTATAACAGTGTTTATCTTCTATCTGACTGTTGGTAATAAATTGCATTATTTTTTAAAAAGGTTAAAAGTTCTTAAATTCTGTGCAGTAATTCAGTCCTTTCTCTCTCTGAAGACAAAAGACCTCCGGGAGATCTCTTTTGAAGTGCATGGGTGGCACTGGTATCCACTTCTCACAGTCTCCAGCCAGACTGAGGCTTTCCTTGAAATGATGTTGGGCAGTGAGGCGACTCTCTGGGTGTAACCTGTCTAACAGGCTGCCTCTGTATGCAGTCGATACATAGGCCCAGTGTGTGTGTGTGAGTGGGTGTGTGTGTGTGTGTGTGTGTGTGTGTGTGTGTGTGTGTGTGTGTGTGTGTGTGTGTGTGTGTGTGTGTGTGTGCTGTAGTCATATGTAAGTCTTCTTTTAAATCAAATACAACACTAGCACTAACACTAGCAAGCAAACAGCTGTAGGGTGATGCTGTTGGTGCAGTGTTTTGTCACCACCCAGTGGACAAGGCAGACTCTATGAAAACATTTGAAAATATGGGCCAGGGCAGTGTTGATTTAGATGTATGATCACAGCAGGGCATTTTGGTATGGATGAACAGACATAAGCAGTGTGTCTTACAATGTAGTGAGGCAGTCAATCCTAATCTTTTTTGAGGTTAGTCTGTGGTCCCAGTACAATATAGCCTCATATCCTTTCAGAACCGTCATTCCATTGCCCATCTGTCCACCAAGCACCCTCCTTCAGCCATCACCTGCCACTGCCTGCGCACCTGTTCCTAATTACCTCATCAAGCCCAAGTATAAATGCCACCCACTTTCTCCTCTGCAGGCTCATCTGTCTGCTTTCAAGTTGTTTACTGTCAGCCTGCCTTTAAACAATGTGTAAAGACTGTTTTACTTCTGACTGCTTTTGGCTCAACTTGTGTGTTTACCTTGTGTGTTGTACCTTACTGTGATGGGGTTCTGTGTGAAAGTCATGAAAAAGTCATGGTTTATGAGCAAATGAAGTACTGATGCTGATGAGTATTTCACAGTGTTCAAAAGAATAATGTAATTCAAAGACTGTGCCAAACTGATTACTCTGATCATCATAAACTTCAACATTTAAATTGGTGTTTCATGGGACCCATTTTTTATGACCCAATGTGTGGAGAGTTGTGGTGTTTGAATTCCTGGAATAATACAGTTTTCCAGTAGCCTGTTTGCCTGAATCTTATTTGGTATGTAGATCTGGTGCTGAACCAATAGTGCCATCTAGTGCACAGAATTCATAACATAAATGTAATTCTGATTCTGTTGTTAGTTCAACCTAAAATACACTGTTTTTGAATGATGAGCCAATCGTTTTGGCCTAGACATCAGCATAAAATGAATGAAATTCCTGATTAATTTTGTTTGTCACCTTGTGTTAAAATTTGAGTAAGGTTGGATTTAAGTTTGGCTTAGAGAAAAATAAATTTGGCTTTAATTAGTAATCAGATGCTATTAGAAATAGACCAATTGGCAGAAATATAGATGCATATATAAATTCTCATTTTATAATCCTATTAACTTTTCTTTATATTCTCTTAATTTGCATTGCTCACTTGTAATTGTTGGCTTATTTGTTGTATACCTGTACTCCAGGGACAGATTTGTGGTTGTCTCCTTGTGGTTTCCTCCTTGTGGTTTCCTCTTTGTGGTTGTCTCCTTGTGGTTGTCTCTTTGTGATCGTCTCTTTGTGGTCATCTCTTTGTGGTTGTTTTCCATCTCTTTGCGGTCATCTGACTTTCCAACTAAGATATTTTTAATAGTCAAACAGAGGCTCTGGCCCAGTGGCCCCTTAGACCCTTGGACCCCTGGCTTGTGCACCATAGGCCTCTTCAGTAATCCATCCATCCTGTACCACATACCACAAAATGTGCCACATATCATAATAATAATAAAATACATTAATGGTAGTGTTATAAATGGAAGTTTGTTATTGTCACAAGAGTTTCTATATTCTGTGAAACAAAAGTACTGTAAAAAAAAAAAAAAAAAAAGAAAGAAGAGAAAAAAGAGAAAAAAGAGATGACGCACGACCGCAGGCCTCTAGTCGTGTCAAGGTCTCATGGGAGTTGTAGTCCATGGGTGGTGTACTTGCTGAATGCTAACAAAATAATCGTTGTTTTATCTTTCAAATGACAAGGTTATCAATTTTTACAACTACATGCAATAGTGGATATTCATTTAGGTTATGATGTGGGCAGAGTTTTTGCGTGTCCTGTTTCAGCTTTGTAGAAAGTTTGATGAAAGAAAGTCTCAGTACAAAAATATAGCCCAACAGCGGAGCCCGGAAGCAGGGCGGGACCTCGGCTCTTTATAAACATGGCCGTTAAGTCCTTTACAGCATCAGGTACTGCGTTTGGCTGAATTAGTTAGACTTTGAGGAAGCCACTGAGGGTAACTAGCACAGTAACAGGTGGAAAGAAAATGTAGACACACAACCGGGGGCTCTAAATTATTTACATTGTTTTACCTCTGCGTGGGAACGACATTTATAAACTTAATGTAGTACTTTAAGCTAGCTAGCTAACGAAGCTAACGCCGACGTCTCAACGTTAACTTCTGTCAACTTTTTCAGCCAGCGAGCCTAATCTGCTACTTGACTGCTTATCGAAATGGAGGAGTGCCCTCGGTCGCCCAGTCTGTCTTGATGAATATTTCACACTCGGACATCTCGGATTTACTCAGCTAAAGGCTAACCCAAACTTTCTTGGAGGTTTCCTTTTGGTTTGTGTCTTTTTTTCCTCACTGGCAGCAGCCGAGCGCTTGCCAGGCGCCCGTTCAGGAACATCACCGAGAGGGCGGACATAAACAATGTTCTCTGTCAAACCCATGAAACCAACCTTCAAGTGTTATCTTCCTCCTGTACAGGTATGTATTTGCTTGCGGGTTGTGTTTACTTGTCACGGTAGATGGTCACAATACAGTGTCAAGTAATTTCTTGAATTAATTTTAGGCTAAACTTGTGACTGGGGTGTTGCGGAAGGAAAGTTGATATTTGACGTGTGGCCAAGATTATAATAAGAAACACTGACTTCTTGTGTTGTATTGGTAGCAAAGCACAAAAAAACAAAAAAAAAACTGTTTTAGTATTTAAAGTTTGCAACAGTACCCCGCTTGAAAAAAGCAGAAGCATGTAGCCTAACCAGACTGCATTTCCTATGCTACTTCAAAGTTAATGTTAACTGAAATGTCACTGGGTGGCAAGAAGTGGCAAGAGTTTTCTTCCTGCTCCTGTAAAACTTGGAATTGAAACCTGTATGGGGAATCTGGCAGCATTTGGAGAAGGAGAATAATTACTCAGCTATAATTTGGCTTCCTCTGTGGATTCGGCATGCTTGTTTTGCCAACAGGTGCATGCACCTCTGCAGACAGCAAGTGAAAGGCTTTGCTTACAGACGCTGGTTGAGCAACCCACACAAAACCAGTGTTTGTATGGGCAAGGTCAGTGTTGGGAAGTGTTTTGTATTTAGGTAACATTTTTCCGTTGACATTCAGTGTATTCTAATATAAAATTAGCATCATAATGTCATGGGCATGCTCTGGGCTTGGTGGGCATGCTCTGGGCTTGGTAGTCAAGTCAATTTTATTTATAGGGTCATGTTATATTTTTGTCCAGGTATATGCTTTCAAAATAGGATCAAATGTATTGCAGATTTAATCAACTTAACCCAGAACTGAACTGTGAACTGAAGACACTGCTCAGTGGCATTCTTCATTTTTCTATGGACTTTACACTTTTTGAAGAGATGGGTTGCTATCTAGAAGCTCTACCACTTTGCTTGTGTAAGGAAATATGCTTTGACCATTTAATTTTCTTTTTTCATGTAGAGTGCAGTCGTAGATTTTTTTTTGGCTGTGCATGCCAGCATATTAAATATTAAATAGAACAATAACTGAGGTTAAGGTGCTGACCTTTTAGGTTTAATTTAAGGATATTTACATCTACATCTGTTTACCGTGTCGAAGCTGTAGTCCCTTTTATACATAATCCTAAATGTAAAAAAATTCATACCTACAGTCCCACCCTTCACACTCTTAAACCTGAAATTCAGCACTTTTTTTAGTCATTCATTCACTTGCAATCAGTGTGCTGTAGTGCAGCTAACAATGAACAACACATGACTGCCCAAATACTTATGTAATGTCACTGTATATGTAAGTGTGTGAGCAGTATTAATGGATGCTATATTAAAAGCATTTGTTGACTGCAGTGTATCTTTGGATCCTTCCAGTATTGTAAACAGAGCCTGCAGCAGGCTTATCATCACTGATTGCAGTAACTGTTTATGCAACATGAATTCACCAAAAGAAATCATGACAGTTTCAAAATGGTTTTATGACAGCCACAGCTGAATCTTAGGTGTATAGGGAATTTGCAAGCCCTATTAAAAGACTTCCCTTATTTAATCAGTTTTACACCTAGAAGCAATTAATATTTCATGCTTTTTCCAGCCTCTCCACCTTGTTATGACACCTTATTTCCATAATTCATTAACCATCTGTTGAGTTGGTGTTTAATTAAATCTGATGTGGCTTATTCTTTTTCTGCAGACTAATGTGAAGGAAACTATTGAACCGCCTATCAAAAAGTTGGAGCCTAAGTTACTTCCAGGTAAGTTTATTTTGTGCATTATCCTAAGAATAGTTAGCACCAAAAAAAGTTTGAAGTGTTTGATCAAAAAGCAGATGAGTCAGTGTCGCATTGCCTTAGACAGCTAGGGCTCAAAGACTAGATCTGATTGTGAATGATTGGCTGAAGCTCATTATTTGGACTTGTATAATAAGTCATCTTATTTATGTTTCACATGGCTGGTAGTGTTTAATTAGACTGGTCTAACAAGACTTTCAGCTCGTGCAAACATGGCAATCAGTCTCAACCTAAGTAAATTCAATTAGGTAATGTAATAGGTGAAAATTGTACTGCTCTGGAAAGTCAACTGAAATTAGCATTTGTTGCAGCTTGAAAAATTATTACCCACAGCAGAAAAAGGAGACATGAGAGGAGGCTCCACAATGCTGTGTAAATTTATGAGAAACCTCCCGTTTTATAGAAATTTTCTCCATCCTGAGTGGGTTTGTGCCCTCTTTACTCTCTATCTGTCTCTGCTTCCACCTGTACTGCTTTGAATATACTTGTTTCCCTCCCAGAGTTTCTGTAGCAACTGTAGTCCTTGTACTACTGGTTTTCACTCTCTCTTTTTGAACTGTTTAATTATCAACTCAAAGTTTCAAAAATGACATTGGTGGGAGCAGATTGTATTTTCTATCTGTTTGACTTTAACAATTCAAAAAGTTAAACATGAACAAGGGAATTAATTTGTGGACATTACTACTGGATACAAATTTTAAAATGATTCATTAAAAGGGCCATTTCTTTTTTAAATTATCAGGAGCATTGGCAGTTGGTAATTGTGAACCATCAATCGTCAATATATTTGTCAGTCAGCAGAACTCTGCCTGCTGTTTACAGTTACAGACTGCTGCTCGGTTGTTTTCTTAGGTGTTTTCTCACAATGCAAGTGCAACCTCTCATGAGGAATTAGAAACCTCACCCCTGCCAGTGATATTTGCATAAGCAGCAGATTGGTGTAAAGTGCTCTTTGCAGCACAGTTCCTCTTCTCCATGAAGTAGCCACTTCTGCCAGTCATGGGAATTACCTTTTTTACAGGAAACAACTGCTTGAAAGGGTTATGATAAAAGTTGATTTAAGACATGAAATTGTTAATTCCTTTAAGCTGTGCCAAGTAATGCATATTTTAGCATTATGATGCCAGAGTCTTACAGTAAGCACAGCTAGTTAAATGACTGGAACAGCAGGAAAGTCTTCATGTAAATTATTTATTTTGGTTAAAGTCTGAGACATTGACTTGGAAACCTCATGGGAGTGGCTTGACACACCCTTTGCATAGTGTCTTGTTGTGTGTTATTTTTAGTAACTATGCAGAAATGTCTTTTGAAAGTAGAAACTCTTGAACCATAGCTTAATTTTAGTTGCCAGACACTTTTTAAGTTTTTTTTTATTTTCAAACCTGCTTCACTTAAGTGAAGTGTATCAAGGCCACAGTCAACATGAAAATTGGAATTGACTACCTGTGTAGTTGCTGGTAAAACAAACTTTCCATCCACTCCCAAGCAGCATTTACTATTAGGGGTTAAGGGTTGTTGCTCCCTCACCATCCTGCTTTTGGAGCTGGATTGACAAACAGGTTCCACTTCCACGAATCCATGATCAGCTTCCTTGTTGTTAACATACTGCACATTTGCTGAATGCTGCTCAGAGGCAGAGCTTTGAAGTGACTGTCTGTAGGACACCACCCTGCTGCCCCAGTTCTCATCTTTTTAAAAATGCCTGGGGCACCTTTTTATAGCCACATTTTGCCTATGCATTAATTGTATTGTCATCATGTCAAGAGACAAGGGTCATGTTACTCATAAAAGATGGAATATGAAAAGCTGCTATTTAGACTAAAGCTGAGGCAATATCTATAATGTGACTTACTTGTGGCACTGAAGGGAGTGACTGTCTCACTTATCATCACAGAAACTATGGGTGTGTGGGACCACTTGGCTTTTTTCTGCCCAACAGGCACCTTCAGTAATGTAGCTTCAACTTTTTAAACCATTTGGGTTTTGGTATTGCAACATAGCCTTTCACAAACATGCTACACAAAGATTACAAGATGTGATATGTGTAAACGACCTCAGCTTCCTGCTAGCTTTCATATCTATTGATATACAAAGATTTTATATATTTTCTGCTATGCTTTTGAAGAATCCCAAAGTTTATCACTGCCATGTTGTTTTTAAGAGGGCAGCTAGGTTCAAAAGCCATGCATTTGCATTGTGCATTTTTCTGTTAGCCTTAAGCATATTAAGCTTAACCAACATTATTTAGGAAGCTTATGAAATGTTGCTGTCATTTCTCTTCCTGCCCACTAAAACAAAAGGGAAATGTTAATAAAACAAACAACACATTGGTTAATGCTCAACAGATCATATCTGTTAGACTAGTTGAACTTGTTTTTTCACTATAACAGGTTTTGATGTCAATTTAAAGCATGTGACGACTTGATTAAGTTTCATCCTTTGCAGTCTTTGTTCTAATAAATGGCAATAATAAAAAGCAATTATTTTTGATAGGTTTTATTGCAAAGCAGTGTGTTTCTAAACCAGACATATATAAATAATAATTATACATCAGAATTCAAATAACAAGCTTGAAAATAAATTGTGTAAATGATGATAAAACATATAATACATTTTGGCTTGGCTATTTAACAAATTTTGAGGAATAGGAAAAGGACTGCAAATACCACTTTTCATCATGGTAACAGGATTCTTCTAAATTCATTGCAGAACAGTGCAAGTACTGAATCTGTTTTCTTTACTTTTTCTTTCTAATTTTCAGTTTCTATGTGCTTCATTGAGCTGTAGTAGGTGACTGTAGACTTTACACTCACTTCACTCTTACAAAACATCTTTTTTCTGTTTTGTTTGTCACCAGGGGAGATAGTAGTTAATGAGGTAAACTTTGTGAGGAAATGCATCAGCACTGAAAGCAGTCAGGATGATCTTTGGGGGAAGTTGATATGCACCAACTTTAAGGTCTCCTTCATCCCTCAGGATGCCCCACCTAAACAGGTATGTGTGTGGACTGCGGTTTTTAAGGCAGTTAAACTGTGCTATTGTGAATGTTTAGCCATTCTTGGGAGTAGTTCAAATCCATAGTGCTGTTTTAATGCAGTTGGTTAGAGGTCTTGTCATTTTGATACCATAAGTGTGAAAACAAAATGTTTTAACTTCCTCTTACAGCTCTTAACAGTGTTAAAGTTTTAGCAGGCTTGAAAGGAAGAAGGTATAATTATCGCTTTATGTTTGCACCCACTGGTGCTACCAGCACACTGCTGAATAGCTTTAATGCTTGTATTTCCACAGCATGGTTGTATGTGCAGTGCATCTGGCAAGGAAGAAGGAAAACTTGTGTGCTTTCCTGCACTACATTGTCAATGATATCGCACAAGAAGTGAGACAACAGACGTCATTTCCAGCTATGCTGCAGATTGTTGCTGTGATAAGAAAATGGAACCTGATCATTGCTTGGCCTGAGGAAATTAACTCGATCTGCCAACCAGTATTTCAGACGATATTTTAGTGAGTTATGGGTGTAATAGAACTGCATACAGAATGTCACATGTACATTTTTATTGTTTGCTTTTACCACAGAAGTCCCAGTTGTCCCACCTGCTGCTCGGAGAGCACGACATCCCCCTGACCTGTCTGGAACAAGTAGTTACAGGTACATCTGGTGCCAACGTTTGTAGTGGCATTTTTTTGTGAAGAAGCATTTCACAGGTTGCTGCTGCCATCACAGAGATATGTTCACTGACTTTCACATATATAAATCTGGTAATCAGAGCCCAAATGTTTTATCTGTCTGATCAGTAACCAGGATACTGCAAACTATTAATTTCCTAATGATATTGAATAAATAAAAAAGCAAGCTAATATTACCATTTTTGAAAGTGTATTTATCAGATGTTTAATATTACACAGTCAAATTTCTGTTGATAAAATCAAGCAGCTCTTAAAGCGCTAACATCCAGCATCCTAACCCAGTCATTTTATAAGAGTGCTCTGCACTCAGAATTAAAGTTAGATGGGCCCAGTCCTCTCCTCATTAATCTTTGACAGCTTGGGTGACTGGTCTCGTTTGTTGTTCATTCCTGGTCAGCAATCTGATAACAAGTGATGTCACAGCTAAGGCAGTGTTTAGTGGCAGTGCAGTCTGGCTAGGATTAGCCTTGTTTAAATATCTCATAGCTGTCGATTGCTGACAGTGCAAGGGCAACTGCCCACAGCAAGAGTTGTTGTGTTACAGTGATGAAGCATGAGGCTTTGTTTTACTCAGCTTGTTTTATAACCTGTTAGAACTGGGCTACTAAAGACAACATTACAATTATGGGATTTGCACAAATATAGGAGCATCAAGAAATAAAATGAATTTGACTCTGCTGATAAGTGATATTTTGGCATTATTGCTTGTTTCTTCATACAATATGTAATCTGTGCCATGGTTTACACCTTGAATTTACACCTGGAATTAAAATCTATTAAAAGATCTATTTTGGTATATGCTTAGGTAAAGGTCATGGATTACTGTTTTGTATAAATGCAGAACATAAAAAAGATTGAGCGGAGATATATGTTGAGTGTTTTGTAGGTGACCTTAATACCTGTTGTCCAAAAGGGAAGCTTTAAAATTCAATATTGCATACCTAAGTTTTGACATGTGCATAAGTTTTCTATTAGTATTTTGTTTGTTCCTCACAGTGAATGATACAAAGGGGAAAAAGAAAGTGTTGGGGTCAAATCAGAAGCTGAAGTTTAACCCCACTGAGCTCATCCTGTACTGCAAAGACTTGCGCATCATAAGGTTCTGCTTTGATGAGGCTGGGCCTGAGAGTGCCAAAAAGGTGAGTGATGCATAAACTTTTTCCAGTTTATTTGAGATCAGTAAGATCTTGAGTTTCAGTAACTGGATGGCTATTTCAAAGCTTTTAAAGTATCCGCTTAGTGTGGATTTGGAGCTTAAGTCTACCACTAACTTTGAGAAAAAAAAAAGGAATTTGTGAATGAATGGATGAAAGAGTTAATAAATAAAATAACAAAAATAACCTAACTGAAATTTAAGGGTATTAAAGCCACTATGTGAAATTTCTGATCACTGACTTTGGCACCCCTTGTGGTAGCATCAAACACTAAATACTGCTACCTCACTTCCCCTCTGATCCCCTGATCACTACTGTGCAAACTCAAATGACATCACCAGTTCAATATTGCAGCATCAGTGTCTGAGATAGTTCTGGTTAATTTTTTTTACAGTGGGCGGAAGTGGAGATGCATCTTCATATACCTCATTGGTTTTCACCACAATTAGTTTGTGCCATCACAATAATTTGTAAGATGCTTTAATCATATGAAATTGTACACACAGTGACTTCAGCATATAAGTAATAACTTTGTGTCAATACCTCTTGCTCAGAATTAACCATTCCCTTTTCTCAACTTCCTCTGCCCATTTCACTGTTGGTTGTTGCTGACCAAACCTTTCCTTTCCTTTCCTGGCTACGTGAGCTCACTACATACACATGCTACACGCAGTGCTGTGACCACTTCCTCAGTAACAAGGATATTTATATCATACAAACTTTTATGTGCTACTTACTCACCCTCCACCTAAGGGCATTTCAGTGTGGCCATTAGCCAAACAATGAATAAGAGACATTGCAAACAATGCCATTCAAGGCAAAGGAAACTGAGAATGATCTAGATTGTAGACACAACTGGCAGCAAGGCTCTGACTCATCTCCTGCTCAGAGAGATTGGAGGGACAGATGTTTCATTCTTCAAATTGTAGCTCAGTTCAGTAGGGTCCAAGAAGGTCAATGTGATGAGATTGATTTTATGGTTGGCATGCACTAAAATGTTGCATTTTTAAGTAAGGCTGGAGGATGGTGACATATTAAATATCATTAATGTTTTAGACCAGATACCTCAATACTATTATATATCAATATAATGTTTTGATATGTGAAGATATCTTAAGAGGATTGGTGATACTTTCAGAAGACGGCTAACCACAAGGGAAATTAAAAGAAATTATCAGTAAAGTAGACTCAACCATATAGAGGCATTCACTTTAAAATCAGGTAAAAGCATCTCGCATGCATAGAAATTGGGGCTGCCCACCTTTTAATGTAGCCAGGAAAACACACATTTCCTCATTTAAAATAGTCATTTGTGTAGTGGGTTGAATTATTGTGATAACTAACAGTAGGCTTGGACTGAATGTACCTTGACCTTTGAGTTCTTTTGGGTAATTTTGGAAAATGTTAATAGAAACATTCCAGGAAGTTGTCACCTTGAACACAGCCTGCATGTGAACATGTGACTATTTGATAGGTGTACTTATTCACCTCTAAACACAGCCGACAGTAACAAAATGAACACACAGACTTTTCATACTCTGTAAGCATTGATGCAGTGTTTAAAAATATGAAATCTGGATTTAGGGAAACACTGGAAGTAAATTTGTATTTGTGACTTGAGACATGAGTGCAAAGTTCTTGGCTTTCTGTTGTCTTACTACAGTCAGGGAGCTGTATATCTCTTTATAGTATACCAGTGAAAAGCACATGAATGTGAATGCACACAGTTGCAGTTCTGATCTCCTCTCATGTCATCTGGGAGCAATTTTTGTGTAGGTTTTAGAGGACTAGGAGTTCCACAGCACATACCTACAGCAACATTACAGGCTGGTACTGCATAGAGTAGGTTCTCATTACTTTGAGTCTTACAAGTCTCTATTCACAGATTAATTTATTTTGAATCAAAATTGCAAAAATATTATTTTGTATATCCTACTGCATTCAAAAGAATATAGAACACTAAATAGAAATGGGTCTATCCTCCCTCACTCCTTGTGAGTCTATTTATGAACACTATGTATGTAATTACAGTGTGAACCTAAAATGGGGCTCAGGTCTTTTTTTTTTCTTTGTGACATATGGAATTAAGCCAGTCTATAATAGCCTAGTTTGCCATTGGAAATTACAGAGTTGGGAGCAGCCTTGACTACACACACCACACACACACACACACACACACACACACACACACACACACACACACACACACACATACACACACTTTTCCTGTGTCCTCTTGTGTTATTCACAGCTTTACAACTGAATGGACTGCTTTGTGTGACTCTAGTGGGGCCACAGAGAGATTCAGTCCTGTAAACTCAGAGCAGCAGCCTGTCAAACATTTACTTTCCCAGGTTTCACTTGTTCTTGTGTCTGCATGGTTAAAGAACATGCCTCAGAATTCATTTAGCACTCTGAGTGAACCCGAGTTGGGGAACCGATTGGTTGTGATGAAACCTAATCTGCCTTGATAATGTTTGACTCCACCATTCAAATGTACTTTTATTTTATTGTACTGTATATCCTATAAAAGTGCCTTCTTTTTATTCTAGGTTTGCCTTGCTATCGCCCACTATTCCCATCCAGCTGATCTTCATTTGTTGTTTGGCTTTGAGTATCAAGGACGGCGATACCATGAATCTAAAGGTACTCCTATAGCATGCCATATTTCTTTCACTGTCTTTCTCTGTAACCGTTAATCAACTATGATTCGCAAATTTAACTGTCCACATTTAATATATCTGCATTAAACAAGAAATAATCTCAAAAGTGTATTTATGTTTCCAGAGGAGCGAGTCAATGGCTCCACCCCTCGAGGAGGAATACAGACCCCTATTTTTGACCGTCCATCTGACTGGGATCGGGAGATCAAAAGAACGGGTGCTTCAGAGTGGAGGGTGTGCTCCATCAATGAGAATTATACCATCTCACCAAGGTTTTCAACTCACTTTCTTTCTTTTTTTTTTTGTAGGCAATTTATGATGGGCGTTGTAGACAAAGCAAGTCCGTAACTCCTACAGTTTGCCTTAGTTGTTACGGACACTCTAAATTTCACTCGTTATTCATACTTGGTATTTTTTGGCAAGACACTATATTTACACTGTGCGCCTTTTTGCTTATTTCATGAGTGACTTGTCAAGAAAAAATGTTGTGAATGTCTCAGTGTAGCCTGCAAGTTTATTTTAGACAATACGTGCTATTCATCTGAGTTCAGTGGTGACATCATAGTGGGTTTCACAGTAAGGATTGAACAGTGTTTTATGTGGAATCAGAGAAAAGGCTTGCATAATAGTAGCTTGCACCAAACTGTGCAAATCACGTGGGGCTGAAACAGTGCTTCCGTTACATTTTCTACGTTAAGATGTCACTTTCTAACTGTAAAGTTGAAAGTTGTGGGAAACACGAAAATACATTTTCTTGGATGTGTTTTCCTCAGTTTATTTAATAATAATTTTATAATCTTGTTTGAATTTCTGTGTAACACCAGTCTCTCTTTAAACTCCTCTTCAGTCTTCCAGAGTATACTGTGGTCCCAGTTTCTCTGGCAGATCAAGATCTAAAGCGGCACTCACTATTCTTCACTGATAATCGCATCCCTGTGAGTATCTAGGCTCTCATATCTCCATTAAATGTGTGCCCTTTGTCAAACTCTGCTTAGGACCACCTTTCATTTTTCCCTTTCAGTTATTTGTTATAACTATACTCCATATACTATATAAAATAATGTTATTTTGTTAGTAAATTTAAGGGCCACCAGTGTAGTCATCTGTAATCCCTATCTGCCAAGTCCAAGTAGCATCCAATTCAGTTGATCAGAGCATCTCTTTTACTTTCTAACTCATCGATGTCTGATTTATTTGCCTTTTTTTTCATAGCTCTGGTGCTGGAATCACCCCAATGGGAGCGCTCTTGTCCGCATGGCCAGCATATGTGATCCAGCACAGCAGAAGAAGATTGAGCAGAAGTAATGCTTCTTTGCTTCATTCAGATTTAAAACATGAATTAGACATGATGTTTTTACTCTCTCTTACTTACTCTCACACTGGAATTCAGTATCTGCCAGCAGATGGTTAGCTGCAGCAGTGGGATATAAAAGTGCTGAGACTCGTCATTATTTGTTATAAATTTAGTCATATATTTTTAGTTTATGAGACAAGACATCTCTAATCCAGTCATCAACATCTTCCTTGTGTTGTGGTAGGGTCTTTAATGCCATCACAAAAAGCCACCCACAGCGAAGTGATGTCTTCAGGTATGATCTGGACAAGTGCCTGCCTAACATCCAAGACATCCAGAGTGCCTTTGTCAAAGCTAGGCAGATCTGTGTTATAGGTGAGCCCCCTTGCAAAAGTAATATTCAGCTTCTGTGTTCAGTCAAATCAATGCACATTTCTTTGCTGTGGAAATAAAATAAGTTTCTTGAAATGATTTGACTGTTTTGATTATGTGCAGATCCTTTTGAGGAGTCTGAGGAGAGGTGGCTTTCCTCCATTGAAAACTCACGATGGCTGGAGCACGTCAGGTATGTAAACAACCTGACACTGTATGATAGCTCTATAAAACTACCAGTGTTGTAGTAGTTTAAGATGATATTAAAATGTCATTTTATATTTGTTTTTGGACTATATTTATTCATGTTTCTATGAAATGTCATTGTATGTATCTTTTAATATTTCTGTCTTTTTAGTGTAACTATACACTCATGAGATGAGTTACTTGTTTGGTCAGCAGGATTATTCAGCCTTGAAATCTTTGCTCTGGTGCCCATCTGACATTTGAGCTGATTAGCACCTGGCTACTGTCATCTGCCTGGCTAGCCTGTAATTATTTAGTTTATTTCAGTGTAAAGTTATGGAGGCTAAGCTGGTTACTTAGAAAATAACACTCCATGTTTTTCAAAGTCAGTTAACATGTATGTTTGTACTTGTGACCTAAGGGCTGTTTTGAAACAATCAGCTGAGATAGTCTACTGCCTGGATGGAAAGAATGCATCAGTCATTCTCCAAGGTAAAACATTCTCCTTTTGAGTTATTTTCACCAGTCATTTGTTCCCATTGTGTTTAAAGCCAGGCAGTCATGAAGCAACACCTTTCTGTACTCTTCACTCTTGCATGGCGCATGAACGAGTGTTCTTGGTCCATTATTTGTGATATTCTAGCGATGTTTGGCTTTAAATAGATTATGCATACCAGCCAAAATACATCTAAAAAATACTGTGGTCAAATTAGAATAATTTAACTTTTTTTATTTCAATCTCATCAACCTTGAAAATACTTTCCTTGCTAAAAGCCTGTTTTAAGATTTTGGTTTCTCTGATTCTACTTGTACAGAGGAAGAAGACAGAGACTTGAGCTGTGTAGTGTCCTCATTGGTGCAGCTCATGTTGGACGCTCACTATCGCAGCCTCATTGGCTTCCAGAGTTTGGTGCAGAAGGAGTGGGTGATGGCTGGCCATCGCTTCTTGGACAGATGCAACCACTTAAAAAGGAATGACAAAGAGGAGGTATCTGGCAAATTGAAATTAATCCAGTCATAGGAGAGCTGACCTAATGATTTCCTGAGATACTCATGATTCTTGGTGTTTGTTTCTGTTCTCTCGATCTAGTCCCCACTGTTCATGCTGTTCCTGGACTGCGTGTGGCAGATAATGAACCAATACCCAGCAGCATTTGAGTTCACAGAGGCCTATCTGACAGTACTGAGTGACAGCATGTGGATCCCCCTCTTCAGTACTTTCCTCTTCAACTCTCCCAAACAGCGTGCACAGCACTTAATGGTGAGGGATACATGCATATGATTGCATTCTTATTTATTTAGTTTAATTTAATACATATATTTATACGTGAAAATGCCACAGTAAATCAGTGCTGTTTTTTTTTTTTTGTTCCTGTACACCAAATGCAACAGATTCAACTATAATCTTGAATATGTTAATTCACATTTTTGAATATGTTTAATTCAATTAAATGAGAGTAAAACTTTGGAAAGATGGTAGTTGATGAAATGAAAGCAAACAAAGATTTGTACACAAGAAAAACAATATCTGATTTGTGTTTGTTTAAAAGTTTAACTTGTAATAGACATATCAGAATGTTAAAAAAAATCTATGTGTCTGTGTGAGGAAAGAGTAAGAGTAAAAAAACATGTTATAATTCCAGGTGATGGGGTGTAACAAAGCAACATGTTTTTGTGGTATCACTTGATGTTGGAGACTATAATTTCCTTCTGGGTGTCAGATAATTGACAAGAAAGAGTGCAATGCATTGCACACAAATAGAGTAACATTCAGCTTGCGGTTAGGAAAGTAACCAATAAATATGACAAAAGCAAATTATGTTTTTTTTTCGTTTACCTTTATGGATTGTCATCTCAAGTCTGGAAGTTTTTTCATGGTGTACAGAAATGTTTTTTGTCTAATACTATGTGCAGAGAAGGAATGATGTTGTCTTTACTCTGCAGGACTTTGCCAAGAATAAAGCCATCCCTCAAGGAGAAGACCAGGTTTTGTATTTCCCTCCTGTTTGGGACTGGTCACAGCAGTTCTCCACCAAAAACCAAACCCTCTTTAACAACCCCATGTACATAGGCAAAGGAGCTGCCTGTGTTCAAAATGGGGAAGTGAAAACCTTCAGACGCACAAAGGTATGTAACTTGCTGAGCTTTACAAGTTTATAAGAGCAGTAACAGCAAGTACGTTATGAAATGTATATACCCTTTTGTTTTTACTACCATGGATATGTTACAAAGACTTAAATTTCAGTTTAGGCTTTCAACCTTGGTTTCATGGTTTTTCAGCCATGTTAAATGACAGACGTAAGGTCTTTACTTGTCATTCCTCTTTATGGTCAACCATCTTTTTGGTTTGTTGAACTAATAGTATTCGCTGCTCCATAGAATTCTCATTTTCAAGGTCAGAATAGGATCAGTAATGATGTGTAGATATTTTTGATAAAGGTCGGCTCAGTCTTCTGCTCTCTTACAATTCAGGCTGGTCGGTATTACTGTTTTTTGCTTGCATTCTGCTGAAATACATAGAATTTCTGATGGAGTAAATGTTTAACATCGGCAGTCCATCCAGTCAGCAGTTTTTGTTTATTGCTGCTGAGATTTTATGGGCAGCCTGTTGTGGTTTCATCAGCAGTTTTAGAAAACACACACACACAGAAGAGGAACTATCATGCAGAAAATAAATTGTTCTTTTTGCTATAGTCGACGTTTCTAGGCCATAAGGATTTGATAATGCAGGTGGAAAGGTGAGAACTTGGATTGAGTGATCCTTGGCTGTTAAATCTGCTACTGCAGTCTGTCACAGAGATAGTTAGTGAAAATAATCCAACGCTGTGTCCTTCTTCCAGCAAAAAACCTACAGTTCCACATTGCGAGGAACACCAGCCTCTTTGCGTAATGGACTGAAAGGTGGAGAGGATGCACTGCCACGACGGGGCTCTCTGGTGTCAGAGCTGAAGCCTGATTTCTCACCAGTGAAAGACGAAAGCCCATCAGAGCGCTTTTTCAGGGACTGGTTCTCTCAACCTGCTGACCAGCAGGGCCTCCTGATTCCTTTGCTCATGCCCTCACACGTGGCTCTCTGGAAGCTCTTCTTTCTTCGCTGGGTTCCTGAAGCCTGCATTCCCAAAGGAGGCCCCATCACCGCCTACCACAAGCTCTCCCAACTGGTCGATGAAATTGAGATACTGCAGAGCCAGCTCAGGCAGTATAAGGGACCCAGTCCGGGCACCACGCCACTCCCCAGCCCAAGTGGCCCCCCTTTAGACCAAAGGAGAATGTATTTTAAGGCCTCTTCTCCGAATGACTCCCCTACACCTCCAGACTTCCTTACCTCCTCCTTTCCTTTCACCCCAATGGGAAATCTGTGCCGCCGCACTGTCCATGGGACGCCCATTAGCAAATTTCTGAATGGGGCAAGGATCTGGCTCTCAACAGAGACTCTTGCTAATGACACTGTCTGAGGATGTGGGGCTTTCAGGCTCACTTTTCTGAGCCCAGTACAGGTCTGCTTAACAACTAATCATTTTATTTTCTATTGCGTCTTTCTTAAATACCAAGAAGGAAAATGAGAAATAGAAAAATGTTACTTTTGACTTCTGATTTTTAATTATTTATAAGCTAGAATTTGCACCATTGATGCTGCATCAAAATCTGAGGTAATTTCTAAACTAAAGTGTTGTCTATCGTCCATTACAGCTGAGGAATTCAGATTCACTGAAGTGCATCCTCCTTATTGGCCAGTGAGTTGTTACTGTGAGCTGTCCTCTGACTGTGAAAGATCATCATCTTCATTATAGATGCATTTTCTTGTCTACTCTTGTCAACTGCTTTTTTTTTGCTGAGCTTACTTTATGACCCACACAAGGATTGCTTTTCAAGATTTTAATATTGAGTTGAGATAAGGTTGAGAACTCCCTTTCTAAGACTTACCTGTGATTTACTGCACATTTTAAAGCAATAATTGAAATTCAACTATTTAAGTATGTGTATAACAGCAATGCTATCAGTTGTTCTTGCTTTGAATTCTCATTGGACAGTAAGACTTCTTCACTGTAATGGAATAATGATACTTGAAATTAGAAAATGCTCCTTTTTATTGCAGCAGCAATGATGCAATTCACTGAACACTGATTTCCCAATACTCCATTAATTTGTGCCTTCCAGGAAATTTAATTGAAGATGCAATGTTTTACCTGGTCTTTTTTTCAGAAAGAGGGACAGAAAATAACACTGCTAACAAGTATTTACTTTGTGGTAAAAACAAAAAGGATCTGGCCTGGTTGAATGTAACAGGGCGTTTTTTTGGAGGGGGGGGGGGTTCGCACAAACTTAATGCTATTTGCTCCAGTTGCCCATATTTTAATGGTTGTGTTGGGGTTTCGCTGTAAGTAGCAAATAGTGTGATTTCAGGGTCTTGCTTTGTAGATGTACTCTATTTTTCAAGCAGAGATAAGGGCCTATATTTTTAGTATCATAATGTAGGTGATACTTAGAGGAAAGTGGAGCTGTGAGGACTTCAATCTGTGGTAGATATTTCCTTTTCTCTTTTGAAGGGGTTTTTATTAAACTTTACTAGAGGCCTTCTGGTAAGGCTCTGATGAGAAACTATTCAGATTATCAGTACCTGAAAGGGTAAATATTTGAAAGCAAAGGGACAGACGAGGGCTGTGACTCAAACCGGTCCCTAGTTAAGTACGTAGTGAATATTTTCAAGGCCGCACATGAAAAAACTTCTGCGTAAAATCACCTGGATAGCAAGTATCATAACTACACCCTGTGTATAATTTTGACATCTCCAAATGAAATGACAGTAAGGGTCATTTGTCTACTCACTTCAATATGCAATGTGACTAGAGAGTGAAAAGCCTTCAAAAGAACGGTAGCATTAACTGTACACACTATTCAACATACTGTATGTGGCTATAGCAATACTTTTGTAATATCCCTTGTGTTTTCTTCATTTTCCATGTTGCTCTGCATAGAGGAGTGCTATAATAGAAAACAAGCAGTGAAGTTACTGTACTTCCAGTCAAGATAGTTATAGTGTCTGCAAACATGTGACCCTTCCAGTACTCTGCAAATATGTTGGCATTTGGACCCCTTAAAAATGTCTCCCTAGGAAGTTCACTAGCAGCTGAACTAGGGACTGGTTTGAGACGCATCTGGTGAAATGGATCAGTCATCCAGAGCCCCTTTTTAAAAACTGGTAAGAAACAAGCAGTGTGTAATACCTTAATGTCTTAAAATAACAACACAGCATTTATTATCCAAGCTCTGTGTAATTGTAGTATAACACCGTTGGACAGAGTCTGTCCTACAATTACACAGGGGTATTGATCCTTAGATGCTAGATTGACCAGTTTCCAGTGATAGTCAGATACACTCATGATTATTTGGCAATAACTAGTTCAGGTGTTTTTTTTTTTAGTATAGATGTGTATAATGTGAGTGCAAACCTGTTCTCCTAAATGCTATTCATTGCACATTTAACTCAATATATAGGATAGTTTGTTTCAAGGTGGTTTTTGAATATAATTTTGGCAAATATTATAAATACTGTATATGCTTGAAATTTTCCAATTAATATTTTTGATTAATGGTACTAAATAACTTTTATCCTTAATTTAGTCTTTATATTTTATGGAGAGATATTTATATGCTGTTTTCCCACTAATTCACAATGTTGCACTCTGCTGTAATTGTATGATGACTGTGCTTCCACCATGGCACAGTTTGATATTGATCACCAGCAGATGTATTTATTCATTTATGCAAATGTTCTCTAAGAGGGATATAGTTGCTACTGTAAATCCCCTGTGCCTTTTTGGGAAGATTGACCATTTTTTGTAACTATATTCTAAATCTGTTGACTTATCTGTTGACTAAAATTGCTGATTTTTATCAATTCTGCAAATCTAGTTAAATTCAGAGGTACTGCACTGAAGCTGTTTTTCCTCACAGAAAATAAGGCTCAAATGTGTACCAGTAACCAATCATTACATTATTTTTCAAATGAAATTGCGTTTTGGCTTTTATTTCACTAGGATCAGTTTCATGGACATATTACATCATATAACAAGGGTTAAGTTTTTTTCTTCTGCTACAGACTGGATCATTCCACCTGCCATATTTTACAAGGGATGTTATTATCTGCCAAAAAGGCTCTTGTGCACAATTTGTACAATGACAAGGGATGGGTAACAACAAAAAACACAGCTGTAGTAGCAGTCATATTCAAAACAATTAAAATGATTGATTACATATACTACATCCTACAAGTCAAGCTTAGTAATATGATTCTTGGAATTTTTAAAGTATTTCCTCTTAAAGAAAAGATCAAATCTTTCTAAAATGCATGCATGGCTATATTAGCAATTAGGATACCTCCTGATGTAAACCGCAAACAAAAAATAGTGAGGGATTAAAAAAAACTGCTACAAGAAGTAAAGGAAGGAGAAATGATCTCCAAACACTGAATGGCATGGATCATGCACAGGTAGGTTTGGTTGATCTCATTGGATGTACCACTCGAAGTCGGCTGATCAGAATGCACTTATTAGTATCTTAGCATCTTTCGAAACCTACAATTACAGTGTATTCTTCTGTCATTAAAGCAAGTGGAACAATGTAAGACAGTACAACTGTAGTACAAAATGACAAGCAATATATAATAAAAAGAAGGGTTTGTCCAATTACTCTTCTAAGACTGAATGCTGAGACTTAACTTTGCTACTGTTTAAAGATTGTCTGAAATTCGTGATCACAACAGGCAAGAAGCAGTGATGATGTGTGTATATTGCAATTCTCACTCCACACAAGAGCCTCAGCCCTGCAAGCTCTTTTCAGACTCATGCTTAGACACATTTGAACTGAAAACCTTTAAACCTGACTCAACAAGCCAATTTATACACTGTTGCTCTCTGAGTTTAAGTGAAATTAATGAGAATATTTGTACATCCAGGCAAGCAGGGTATATATCCATATCACAAAATTGAAAACGCCTCTACATTTAATATTTGTGTCAATTTTCTCTAATGTTGATGTTCATATTTAACATACACTAAATGAATCACATATTAACTCTCAATGTGTCTCATGGTGATCCTAGGTGATCTGTTTTTGTAAGACACAGTTCAGTACATATAGAAGAAATCTGACTACATGGCAAAACAGGAGAAAAACAGAACGGTGTGTGAAATTTGTGCTGGTGCATATGTTGCTCTTTTAAACTGTGTTAACAGAAGTTTTAAATATGGAAGATGCATGATTTGCTCACTTTAACGGCCATAATATTGCAACAGGTACATTGGTGCTGAGGGTAACTATAATAGTTCATAACTGGACTGATATGAACACTACGTGGACTGCAATGTCACCGAGAAGATAATGACCATCATATCCTCTGTTTGGATTTCACATCACTCAGTTGTAGTGTCCCATTAAGCCATGCACTATATCAGGGCTCTGGAACTATAACATATAAATGGGATTGCTGCTATGAAATGTAAAAACATCTGCACCTAAGGCTCCAGACCCTTAGGACCTCTAGAAACCCCATGTTTACTGCTTGTGCACTGGTTTGGGGTTTTGTTAATAATTGGTACCACCGGAGTACAGGCAAAGTTTTAAGACTTTATCATTTTAATTTATATTGTAGTCATGGTGCATACAGGTACAGTACTACAGTGTGGTACCGAGTGTATTCAGCAATTAAACATCCCATTTACTGCACACTAAATTACTAAAAAATGTCAACAAGTTAGTTATCAAGACGTAGACTACATAAACGCGACATGCTGGGTTGCATCATGTATAAGTTTCTACAACTCCATCCACGTTCATTATACTTACTATAATACCTTAAAGTATTCAGAAATGGCCTATTTTCGTAGAAGGCGTGGTGCAGCTACATGAAACTACTGTCGTGAAATCCTTTCATTGCACGTGGTTGCAGCGTCCCCTGCTGAACAACACTTCACATTGGTCCTAAAAGCATTGAAGCAGGATTGTTCATTGACTGAGTTATTTTCATTATATTTATGCAATAAAAGCAAACAAGTAGTGAGTTTCTGTCAGGGGACACACTGAGTGTTTTATTTGCACTGTATTTAGATGTAGAAAGGACAAAACAATACTGCTTTACTGAAAGCTGACTGATCTCTCGTTGTGGACGTGTTGGGCTTTTGTGCATGAAAAAAAAACAGGAAATTGAATAAACCTGGTGACGTCATTGGTGAGCGCCTCTGCTGGCCTTCGAAATGGGCTCGACTGCTTAGCCTTGATTTCTTCAATTGTCCCTCCGCATATCAACTTTTTACAAAGAAAAGCCTGTCCGCGATGACATTTGGAGGTACGTCTACACAACGAGACAAATCGGAGGCTTATGCAGCAGGCATCATGCGCAGTGCCATGTTAGCTATGGGCAGATGTGAGTCGAGTTCATGTAGCCAGTTGTAGCTGTGTTAGCCGTGTAGCTAACCAGCCTGAACCTGCCCAGTGAGAAATAATGGTGATAACTAAATGGGCTCAGATTACAACAGCTATCATTTGAACTCATCGTCTTCATTTAGTGTTAGTGTACGAAGTGTCATGCTGTCACTTTTCTGTGTTCACGAGAAAATGATAACTCCAAGTAGCTAGCTAACTTTAGCCAAGTCAGCCACTAGCTAACGGTAAACAGTTACTCTGAAGTGAAGTGTGGCGGCAACTGGAAGAAAACTCTATTAAATCTGTAACTACATTTCTAAAGCAGGCGTTTCCTATCTAGTGCTTCTCATGGGTACGATTCAGGAAGCAAGTTTATTACTCGGCTCCGTGGACAACTGTGCTGAGTGAAACCAGGAACCCACTCGAGCCTGGTTCGTGGGCTGATATAAACGAAACGAAATATTTCTTCAAAGTTATTTTCGTGATAAATGAGTAAATCCGAATACGTTCAATAACTTCACATGTTTCTGTTTACTTCTGCTGGTCCATCTTTACAGGACAGCCGTACACCTCTGCATTAAAAACCCAAGCCAACAGGACTGTAGTGGATCAGCTGTACTGGAACATGTCTCTCATGTGTTAGAATAGAAATTATTTAATTACAGCAAAAACCAGTAGGTAACTCTGAGAGTGTAAGCAGTAAGCAAGTCATGTAATATGTAAATTGGTACATTTAAACTTTATTTTACTGAAATTCTGTGATGCACAACTTGATGAAGTTGTAGTTTAGTTGTCCTTTACACTGCACATAGAAAAGGAGGGATGTAGTTCCAGTGATAGTGAATTTTCAAACTGTGCCGCTTTTTTTAAATGTGGAAATTTAAATTTCAGATCCAGTGGAGTTTCCAATGTTTTCAAAGATATACTAGGCTGAAAAGCTAGATGATTATGGCATCTTGTGAATTAAGAGTGGGAATCACAGGTCTGTCAGGCATATGGTATGATACTATACTAATATGTTGCCCTTGATTACAATGATATCACTGCACTAGAGCTGCAAAAAAAATAATCAGCTACCATTTTGTCAATCAATTTATTGTTTCAGCCCCTATTCAAGCAAAAATGTCAAATATTTGCTGGTTTTAGCTTCTTAAATGTGGCAAGTTACTGTTTAATTTTGTCATCTATGATACTTTACGACATATCTTTGAGTTTTGGACAGCTGAACAAAAAAAAGCAATTATAAGGCATCACCATGGGATGCAGGAAGTTTGAAAGTGGCATTTTTCACTACTTGTTGATATTTCATGATCTAAATGAATTGAGTAAGACAGGTCAGAGTCGGACAGGTGTAGTTTTTGGTTGGCCAGTCTAATGGTTTATATCTGCTGCCAAAGATGGTATGATTTTAGCCCTGGTGTGATGAGTCAGTATGCCCTTCTGATTTTTTGTTTTTTTTAGGTGAATTGGAAGACGAGGTCAGCCAGGTGATTTCAGAACTGGTTCCTGTGCAGGCTGACTGGCTTGCAAGTCTCAGTTCCTGTGCAGTGCAGTAAAGCTACTCACTTGGTCAGAGGATTGCAATGAAACCAGCTCAGGAGCGCAACCAGGAGTGCCTGCCTCCTAAGAAGAGGGACCTCCCAATTAGTAACAGCGGAGGAGCTGGAGGGACTGGGGGAGGTGGGGCTGCAGTTGGGGGTGGTGGCAGTGGAGGTGGCAGTGTTGCTGGCGGTGGTATTGGAGAAGATGAAGTGGTTTCCATCCAGAACTCTGCAGCCAACAGTGACACTCAGGGAGGGACCCCATCCGGAGAGTGGCTGCGAGCTCAGCCAGGACTTCATTATGGAGTGGATAATTCTGATGGCATACCAGCAGTGCCCATTGACCAGTACAGTATGCTCTACAAAGTGGCTCTTCCATCTGTTACCTACTCACCTACCAGTCTTCACCCAGTGTTAAGCCACATCTCTCCAGCCTACACTGTTCATTCTCCTCTTCTGCAACATCCAGGCCTTCCCTATCCTCCTCTTGGTTATGCCCAAATCCCTCATTCCTCTCTACAGTTTGTTAGTTCACCTTATGCAGCGGTACCTTATGCTCTGACCCCTGGCTTTGTCCCAGGACCATTAATATCTCCTTCAGGCACCATCCCTCAGCCCCACTCTGTATCCCACCTTGTTCCCTATCCATCTGTCATTCAGGAAGGTGTTGTTTCCCCACCTCCCCAGGCCCAGGTAGCTTCTCATACCTTTGCCAAAGTTGCAGCATCTAGTGGTGTCCCACTCATGCTACCTTCAGAGCAAGCTGCCCAGCAGCACCTTGGTACTGTAGGAGTCCTGCCTGCAACAGAGGTCAGCTCTCGAGGGATGCCAGTCTTCTACCACCCTCAGGGCGCCAGGGCTGCCACTGCCACCAGAGACCCCCACGGTGCCCAGCAGGAGAATGAACCAGAGATGAATGGAGGGGATAAAGAGCAGGGAGCCAGGGAGGTCGTACCAGACTCGATCTTCACTGCCAGAAATGCACGTCTGCCACTGATGGCACTCAGCTCTGCAACACAGGATCACAGCCAAGACAGAGGCCTGCAGAACCGAAGACTGGAGGAGAGGAGCTCACCTGGTCAGCGCAGCACTCCAGACAGCGACCTGGAGGTAAGACACACTGATGACCTTCTAATGTGACCTATGTTTTCCTGTTATTCTGAGTATACCCAAGTTTTAGCAGTGGTGATATAAACATCCATTGAGATGCAAAATCGTTCTACATGATAAACATCGGGGGCTTCTCATCGTGGAATGTTTGATATTTTTTACACATTGCAGATTATATTTTATTAAAAATTTCATGTTGTAAGTGTACACTGAAGTGTTTGAAAATAACAATTAATGAATAACAAATGATATATCAGGTGGAGAATCCGGATTACATGTTCATTTATACCCATAGTTTACTTTTCTTTTTCAAGCGTCTACATACTGTACGCCTGATAGGGTAAGAAGTTTCACACCAAGAAACACACAAGAAAATCACTCGATCACCCACTCAATCATTTAAATTAAAGGCAACAATTTTTGAAACAATGCTCATGTTGATCATGGAATAAAATATCCATATAACATTTATATAGACAGAAATTAAAGTAGAAAAAATATAACACTCAAAATTAACTACTGTCAAATGCTTTTTCAGAGGTTATAGTGTGTTAGAATAATCCAACATATGTTGACCTGTGACCACTTAACTCTAATCAGTTCATCCTTGAGTCTAAGTGAATGTTTATGCCAAATTTGAAGAAATTCCCTCAAGGCATTACTGAAATATTGCATTCATGAGAATGGGACGGATGCATGTATGCACAGACAGACAGACGGACGGATGGATGGAAAACGCAAAAACATAATGTCTGAGGTGATGATGAAGTGATGAAATTTTGTATCCAAATGGTCAAACGTCAACTTCACTGTGACATCATAATGTTCTGCAAAAACTCTACTGCTGCTGGGTGTGAGCTTTAGGTCATTGTCCTGCTGAAACACCTAAGACCTTCGCCTAGGACCGTACTTTCTGACACTGGTTAACACATTTTGCTCTAAAAGGCCTTGGTAATCTGATTTCATCCTTCCTTTAATATATTCAGTGCCTTTAGTAGTAGCAAAGCAGCCCCAGAGCATGATAGAACCTCCACCATGTTTTACTGTAAGTAGGGTGTTCTTTTCCTTATGGGCTTCATTTTGTCGCCTGTAAACAAACTGATGCACTGCATTCACAAAGAGCTCTTCTTTTCATCTGTCCATAGAACACTATGCCAGAGAGACTGTGGCTTATCGATTCAAAGTTTTTGCAAACACAAGTCTTGCCTTTTTGCACCTTTCTTTCAATAGTGGTGTCCTCCTTTGCCTTTGCGCATGGAGCTCTACTTGGTTTAGTGTGTGGCATATGATACAGGTTGAAACCACCACTCCAGATTGCTCCAGGTCAGCCTGAAGCTCTTGAGATGTCTTGTGTGGTGTTTTTTCCACAACCCACACCAACCTTCACAGACTTCTCTCATTGAGTTTCTTTCTCAGCACCATGTCCTGGAAACATCTTAACAGTTTTATGTTATGTTATTTCTTCTTGGAAACAATATGAACTTTTGAAATAGGGATTTGAAGATCTTTGGAGATTGTCTTGGAATTGTATGTTTTTTGATAAAAGCATTTCTGATGTTCTCTTGTTTTTGCCATTGTGAAAAAAAGCTGGAAACAATCAGCCCCCTTTTTATGTTGTAAAACCATCCTTCATAAGTTAATTCAGGTCACATGAACACTGAACATTAAGCACTATTTGTTTCTGAAGATATTCCGGGGTGCCAAAACTTTCAACCGAGACTATATATATATATATATATATATATATACATACTAAAGATGTCGTTTGTTATTTATGAACCTTGTTTGACCCTGTTTGATTTTTATTAACACATCTGTGTATTTTTTGAAAGAAATTTTGTCTCTACTTTTATGACTGCAATATGGGTGAAAAGCTCAAATCAAATTTCCCACTCTGTAGGACGTTTAAGTTAATCATAATCTTGATGAGAATAGCAAAGAGAAGAGAATAAATTGTGTGTTGGAGGGAGTTTGAGCTTGACCGAAGAGATAGCTAACATACAGTAATCTACTGAACCACACACACATTTCATACTTAAATGCTGTAATTCAGGCTTCTGTGGGAAAACACTTGGATGTCTTTTTGGAAATTGTGTGTTGTTCTGTGTGTTTTCAGAAGATTTAAAAGTTGTCGGACTAACTCTTAATTCCTTTAATCAACTTCCAGGTGCAGCAGGTGGTTGGTCGTTTGGCTTCTTCCAGCCATGGAGTTAGTGGAGTGCGGAAAGAGGTCTCCTTTGCCCCCTTGAACCTCTCTCAGGGTGCCCAGAGAGCCAGAGATGTCCATGGAGAGAACACTGGTGTAATTTCCAGCCGGGCTGCGTACACGGTGCAACCTGCGACTTACAGTGACCCCAGAGTGACCGGTCTCCAGCAGCAAACAGGACAACCAGGCCATGCTGTTGTGCTTGCCAATGGACAACCAGTTCTTATTCCCCTGGAGTATCACCCGCAGCATCAGCCCCAGCCACCACAGCAACACTACCCAGGACAGGCTAATGATGTCTCAGCCAGCCATGCCTCTACCACCATGGCCTCCATTAACCCAAGCTTTAAAGCCTCTGATTCTTCAGCCAGAGTGTGCCTCCCTGAAAGAGTGGAGCCGACCACAGCTCAGCAGCAGCTTCTACAGCATCCTCCGGTCCAGCCTACAGCAGATGTGACTCAGGCCTTAGCTTCAAGCCTCGCTCCCGCCCCGACTCCTTGCAACCCGTCACACTTCATGAAGGGGGCCATTATCCAGCTGGCTACTGGGGAACTGAAGCGTGTGGAGGACCTGCAGACTCAGGACTTTGTACGGAGCGCCGAAGTGAGTGGGGGGCTTAAGATCGACTCCAGCATGGTGGTGGACATCCGTGCCAGCCAGCAGAGACCAGGTCTCGTGTCGCTTCACTTTACTGTGGGCGAGCAGCAGAGCAAAGTGACCATTGATGTGCCCCCAGAGCACCCCTTTTTTGTGTTCGGACAGGGCTGGTCTTCCTGCAGCCCGGAGCGTACAGCCCAGCTCTATGGCTTGGCCTGCCATCACCTGCAAGTAGGAGATGTGTGTGTGTCCATCACGCTGCAGCAGCAGCTTCAGCCACAACAGCAGAAACAACAACAACACCATCATTCACAGCAGCAGCAACAACAACAACAACAACAACAACAGCAACAGCAACAGCAGAACCTGTCCAGGACTATGAGCAAAACCAAAGCTACATCAGGACCTGGTCACCAGCTCATGGGGCCTCCTGCCCCTCAGCAGTCACGGTCTCAGTCTCATTTCAGGATAGACCGCATCCACAGAGAAAGACAGCGGGATGGGGAGAAAGATGTGGTCGATAAGGAGGAAGCCACACATTTGGGGGTTGTTGGGCACACTGAGTCGCCCATCAGACCAAGTAGGACCTCAGCAGAGCATCCAAGGAGCCAGAGCAGTTACCACTTGCACACAGAGAGCTCTGCTTTTGCAGGGGCAGGGATGGGAGTGATGCATGCAGCGCTAGGTGCTTCTCAGAGGCGCTGGTCCTCACCTGGCCTCCAAAGATACAGTATGAAGGGAGACGAAGGGCCACGCCCTCAGATAAGCACCTCCAGCCACACAAGGCCCTCTTTCATCCCCCAGGAGGTCAAACTGTCCATTGAGGGGCGCTCTAATGCAGGGAAGTAGCATCACATTTGGTAGCAACTATAGAAGAGACTGCCATGAGTAAGAATGAGTCTGACAAGGAGAGAAAGAGGAAAAAAAAAAAAAAGAGTGCGAATGTAGCCTCAGAATGTTTGAGATTTTGCACACCTTAAAATATACAGAAATACAAGATCTTTCTCTTTCTGGTGAGAAGTTCTGGTTTGGTTTGGTTGTCACTCAGCCAAAGGATTTGAGCCAGTGCTTCCCCAGCCAGCTGAGGTCTGACAGGGACATGAAAAGCTGAGTAGAAAGTATGTAGCTGATGAAATGCCTACCATAGTCCTTACACACTGCATTTCTCTTCCTCCCACCCTCCTTTGTTGCCACTTCCTCATACCCATGCTTGGAGGTTACCATCGCATTCAGAACACTCTTGCTTCCTTTTTGACCAAACTGTCTCTCTGGATGACCACGGACTACGAAGAATGTGTTTATAGCACAGTAAAGCTACCAACTCTGCAGGTTCTGATGTATTTGAAAGATCACAGCCAGTAATATTTTATCTCCTCCATTCCTAGGATCCTGTTTCCTTCAAAAGCATTTAAAGAGTAAATAGAAAGAAGAAAAAATTAATTAAAAGATAATAAAGAAAAATAGAGAAAAAAAAAAATGCATGGAAATAAAAACAAGTCAAACAAAAAAAAAATTTTAAAAAACCCCCCCGCACCCCCCACCAAAAAAAAAAAAAAAAAAAACTGGAGTTGCTGACATCAGCTGCTCCTGCCATGATGTTGGCACTGTTGACGCTAACTGTCAGTGTATGTTACATTATGCTTCTCCGGCAGGAGTCTAAAACCTCTGCTGTCAGCAGAGATACTTTCTCCTCTCTTTCCTTTTCAGGAGGCCGGTCTGCAAGGAATGGGATTCTCTCAGGCAGAGTGCGGCATGTCCTGCTTGTCTTACAATCGAAATAGTGATAAATCAATCAATTTGTCTGTTCAGCAATCAGTTTCCACTCCAAAAAAGTTTTGCTTTCATTACACACCATCATGCCCACTAGTTTTGGCTGAGGGCCCTAACACGTATGTGTGTTTGCATAAATGCCGCGGATTGGAATTTGTTCTCTGATAATTAGTAATATCTTGCATTCCAGTGTCATCGGTGAGAATATCCATGATTTAGTGTTTAACAGTTTCCTTTTTAGAGAATAATTTCCCATCTTGAGCGACTCCCTTCCTCCTCCTCACTATACCTCAAAGCTTTTCCCAACCAGACTGGTGACTTTTGATGCAATTTTCTACAGCGTAACTAACGGAGGAGGCACTGGCTGGTCATCACCAAAGCCACCTGTGGGAACGCACCAGAGAGACTTTACCCTATCACATCACTGGCTGCAGGCCACTTTAACCCCTTGGAAGAGTGGAAGGGCCTGGTAGTTTGCCTTGGAGAGAAACCCTGTGTGCGAGTGAGTCATTGACGAAGTCTTCTCTTTGTCCTCAACTTGAGTTACTCTTTGCTCAGTTACCAAATTGAAGCAATAGTTCTTTTTACAGCTCGCGGCTTTAATGCTCTCTAATCTCTAATCCTTCGCCGTGGGCTGTTTTTATATCTCTATACGTCTGAGGTGAGAGATCTGACCCTCTTTTAATCCAGACTTTCAAAGGTGATGCACTATTCATTTTCATTGGTTCTTCAGTACATCTGCAAATGCAAAGCCTCTGACAGATTTCTCAAGAAATCATTGTCGATGAAACTGCTCCTCTTTGATTCTCCATCTCACTGATGATCTTTACTTTTTTTATATGGATTTACTCAAGTGCATCTCCAAGAGAGGCTTGACTCTAATTAAGTTGTGATCATTATCAAGTTATCTTCTCTTCTGTCTTTTGTTTGAACATATACAGTCCTTCACTTTTTTTACTAGGATGTACTTTATCAAGTGGATCTGACGATTGTCTCGTGTTGCACATAGAAAATGTCACTCATTGATTTCACACTGACCTTGTTAATAAGAATCACAGTGCAGTAGGTGTTTTTCTAATGAAGGGAATATGTTTGAAGTATTGTTGTTGGTGTTTTGTGGTGAGAGAGAGAGAGAGAGAGAGAGAGAGAAAAAAAGAACTGACTTGCATTTTTAACTGTTTACAAATTAGCCAAGATGAATGCTGCAGTTTTCCTCCTCCTGACAGATTTTTATCCTTGTCACTTAAAAAATCCAAAAGGGTGAAACTGAAAATAAGTGCAATTAGACCACACATAAAATCATTCAGAGGTTTATAATCAGACAGCATTCCTCACATAGACATTCCCATCACAAAATGTAAAGCACACAGTACCAGTTTTCTTCTTTCCTGTCATATATCTTTGGACTAACCTCTGGCAAAACATTTGAATATTTGTTGCATTTTCTGTTTTTATTTCCTTTCCCGGTTAGTTCCATGGTTGTCATTTGTGTGTCTGACTTATTTGTTGGTGCTGTACTTGCAAACTTTTGAACTAGTTTGTCCATCAGCCTCAGACACTCTTGTGCGCGTGTGTGCATGTTTGTCCGCTTCAACTTGGCCCGTAAACCCTCATGGTTCAGAGTATAAGACCTGACCCTCTGTCAGCAGGTACAGGGGCTATGAGAGAAGTGTCAGACAGACTGACCTGAACTGGGCCTAGTGGACTTATTTCCTCTGGTGCTGTTATTTCGAGCAGCTTCAGAAGATAGGTCCGCATTTTTTTTAAGTCTATTTTGAAACGATTCTCACATGCCCATAAAGACTTACTGGTCGCTGTAATCGTTCCTCCTGTCCATACTGGCTGTGTAAAGATTCCTTCCTGATGTTATTCCAGTGTGCGATATGGGGCAAAATTAACTGTTATTTTTTTTTTGTGCAATAAAGCACTGAGTTGATAAGAGCCTTCAGCAGTCATACTTAGACAAATCAAGTGGGTATTATCCAAAGTTAGAGATGCTATGGTACACATTTCACTCTTTATGCTACTGTTCCTCTGCTGTCGCTCAGCAACTGCTGAAGCCTTCACACACAGAACGAGGACTGTGGATTTTGTCCTTCATCCCGTCACTTAAACTGGAATCACATTGAGAAGGGATCTTTTTACAGCTAGTATGAATGGGAGGAACGTTTATAATGACAACTCCATGTATGTGTGGACAAGCGAGAATTCCGTTAAGTTAGACTTGAAAAAATGTGAACCTGTTCTTTGAAATGCTGTGCAATGGGAGATTGTCATTCAGAAATTAATTTTACTACAGTACAAACTCATCTTACCATCAGAAGCTCACCCTATAGAGTTCTTTTTTTTCATGCTGTAAGCAATATACATAATACCTGAAAACATTTCATGTAGTCTTGGCATTTTCTACGCAGTAAACTCAGTATTGTACCCGTCATTGTCTTAAGTACAGCTCTATGCAGCTGTAAGGCAGGTTGACCGATGCAGTCATTTCACTCTAATGTCTGGTTATAGGATTTTTGCTTTAAATGACCTTTTTATAGGAATATAAACCAATATTTTGCGTTGTTACTTTCTATTTTTTGCTCAGTGGTCCCCATCTTCCTGAGTATAGCACACTGACAGATCAGTAAAGTTTTATTGTCTTCTTATGATGCCACACAGTTGCAGCCAAATCACTCGAGACGAGTGTCACTCAGATTTTTCATGTGTTTGTTCAGCATTATTTTGGCACGGTTGCCAAGCCACTTCAACATTGTATTTTAGGTCAAGATGCATTTGATGGGATTTAAATGGTGCAAGCAGTGCCTCCTGTGACTTTACCTCCTGTTAATTCTCACAGCAAGACCATCCTGTGCAGCCATGAGTGTTTTTTGCTTTTGCCCTCTGCTTTGAAGCAGTGTGTGCCGTGTTAAGCAGGAAAACTCGACTTCTAGCAAGATGTCCAGTGAATATTATTCACATCTCTGATAGTCTGTTGCTGTAAGTAATTGCACTAAATGCCCTCCTTTACAGTGTTTTAAAATTAAAACTGTTGGTTAATTGAAGAGTTTCAAAATGTAAAGCACACAAAATCATGGAGAAATCACAGGTTGTGTGTTTCTGTAGATAGATGTATTTTTTTGTATAGATAGTTTTGATGATGCTTGTCGATAATGCCTTAAATTCTGCTGTGTACAATGTGTGAAATTGAAATAATGGAATAATGCTTCTGGTAGACTTGGTGTTCCCTTTTCAGGCTGTACAAGAGCAAATAATCAGAAATATCAAAACTTGACACTCTTGTCATGCTTATGAGCAGAAATTCATGTTTAGATGTCTCAAAGGGCGACAGTGAATCCTCTTTGGGCCCCAAACGCTTCAACAATGAAGTCTGCAACATTTTGTTTGTGTGTGCCCCCCCCCTCCCCCTTTCTTTTTCTGCCATATTTTTTTTTAATACACTCTTATTATACTTTTTAACATTTTATTCTTGTTTTTCCAGTATGTGGAAGTGGAGTACATGGTAGCTCTTCTCTGCACTTCTAGCCAAGAGTGTCAGCAACAGAGGGCATGCCATTAATACCACACACACACACACACACACGCACACATGCACACGCACGCATGCACACACACACACATAGACAGACCTCGCACACATCTGTTGTTTTTATTGTTGTTGCACAAGCTCCATAGTTTTTTTTTTTTTTTTTTTTTATCCCTGGAATTAATGGATTGTTTGGTGTCTTGTGTCGTCCTACAGTCTCTGGACAGCAGGAGGTGGGTTTTTAATAAAGGCAGAGACAGACAGACTGCATAAATCAGATAGCTTTCAGTTGGTGGTAACGTAATGGTTTCTTATGTTTAGTGACGTTGGCAGTGGGTTTTTTTTACCTCCCTCTGTGAACTGCTTCCTGTTGTTTGATCCAGTATTCAACTTAAAAGGTGAAGTTAGGACGGTTTTGGTGTTGCTGATGGTGAATTAAATCAGGAGAATAAGAACGGTTAAAAGTTTTAAAGAAGTCTGTGTATTTTCAGATTTGACATTGTACTTTTTTGGCACAAGGTGACACTGCTTTTTATGTGACGTGTAACTATCTAAAAACAAAACAAAAAACAGCATCTTTTTTTTGAAATGCCTAAATCTGCAAAATATATGCAATGATGTAAATGTAACATTCAATCCTCAAGTATAATCCAGGTTGTATGAACTTTGTATAGTGAGTTTTAATATCGTATGGCCGTACCAATATGTATTGATCTTCTATCAGAAGCCTTAGAGTTGTCGACCCAAAGTGCTCCCTTAGAATACCCTACACCTACCTGACTTTAACAAAGCATTAATATCTCTATTTTGTTGCATTTTTATTTGTACCCTTTTTGAATAAAATAGATTTGTACTGTATATTTGTACCTCTCTGTGAACTACTTAGGGCGGTTTTTGTTTTTTTGTTTTGCTGTTTTAATTCTATGTACTTTAAGGACACAAAGATATTGTATTTTTATTGTTACAGCTAACTTGGAGACATTGCATTTATCATGTTTGTTAAGTAAACACAATATAATATATATATAAATATATATACAAATATAAATATAAACTATTATTCAACTGGTGTGCTGTTTCTTTAGTTGCATTGATGTGTTTATTTTAGTTTTTTTTTTTTTTTCTTAGTGGTAGAAGAAGTATTGAGATCTTTTACTAAAGTAAAAGTAGCAATACCTCAGTGCAAAAGTCCTGCATTCATAATTTTAACCAAGAACAAGTTCAAAAGCATTATTAGCAACATGTGCTTTAAGTATTAGTATTCATAAGGCAATAGAATGGACCCTATCAGAGCATTATATGATTGGTGTATGCTTCAAAATAAAAGAACCATTTTAATGCTGTAGCTGATTAAAGCGGAGCTAATTGAACCACTTTATATACTGTTCGGGGGTTTAACCACTAATCATACATTACAAGTAGGGCTGCACAATTGATCAAAATATTATCGAAATCGCAATTTTGATATTGCCAAGCACAACATCAAAATTGCAGGAGCCCCAATTTTTTGATGTGTCACAACATGTCATAAATGAAGCATTGTGGTGTTGCAGAGATGCCCTGGCCTAAAAATCATTCACCAGATGTAAGAGAACACGCTTGTTTGGTACAGACCCCAGCAAAAATCACAACATAATTTTTATACTTTTTTTGAATGAAATGAGATGCAAAAATTACCATTCCCACTATAATTTACCCCAATATGATTTCTTTTGCATATTGTTCAGCCCTGCTTACAAGTCTATCATACGTTCTGATTGTCAAATTTTGATCTTTACAGTAACAAGCATGTAGCTGGCAAATGCAGTGCTATAAACATATGGAAGCTAATAATAGCTCTAATAATTATAACTCAATGTCATAATAAAATTGAACTACTGAATACTTAGTGTTGAAATTTATATATATAGTATATAGAGTATATAGAACTGAAAATGTTACTTTGAAAACCATCCATTTGAATTTATGTGGATTGAACGCCCCTCTTCTAATGTTTCACTAATTCAGATAAAAAATACTGAAAATTATATGAATTAATTAATGAATTAGTCGAATTCTGACCTAAAAATTCATGTCAGGTTAAAATATGAAGTTTTTATATTGGAATTTGTTTGAAATTAAGCAACTTGAATATACTTAAAATCTACTTATTAGAAACTTGGACTTTTTAAATCCAGATTCATGGACCCTGTGTGTATAAAATGACAGAAGAGGGAAATGACACTGGACACTAGTGTTATAGTAAAGTCAATGTTTATTTCCACATTCTTCACCAGGTTTCGTCATGGTCTGTACATCTGTTAATCCAGTAACAGAGGATGGCGTCCCCAAAGGACCATCCAGTCAGAATGCATTGATATCACAGCTAGCATGAATGTTCTCATTAGCAGTTTAGCTCATTCATTTGGCCTTGTTCAGAGAGATTTATTTTGTAAACATGGACATTGAGAGGAAATCCTGATAGAATTAATATAGAAAGGCCAACGTTATTAACAACATCTTTCTTTTGATTAAACTGTATAAAACAGGCAGGCATAAACTAACAGTAGAACACAAGCTCATATTGAACCATTCTAGGACAAGTGCAGTTTCACGACATGCAGTGCTTACCTAATCCATACTGAAAGTACTGCTCGTAAAGACCAACATCACATCAGAGTTCATAGTACTTCCTTTGCAATAGTATGTCAGACCACAGACGCTGAAGTTTTCTGCCCTGTGTTTCCACTGTAGGACAAAGGGGGATCACAGCAATTTCAAAGAGCAACCTCTGAGAATACCCAGTATTCATAGTCTGAGAGAAGAGAGAAATGACACCTGAAGCCTTTGTCGAGAGCACTGATCTGCCCTCGGTACAGTGTGTCGTGAGTAGGATGGCAGTGAGACCCTGTTGTTTTCATGTGCTGAACTAGGAAGAGAAAACACATTTTAGAAGACAAACTGTCTCTGGAAAAGTCACACAACTGCCTAAAACTGTCCCTATCACATCATATGATAGCTCTATAAATGATTCTTATGGACCAGGGTGTTGTATCTTGGCTCTGAGCCCTCTCACTGAGTTAAATTGCCTGAGAAGCTAAACTCTTTACATTGAAGTCCGTTTAAATCAAAGTTGCATTCTGCATAGTTTCAGTGAAAAGTGAATTAATTTCCCTTGGAATAAATAACACATCTGTTGCATAGAGGTTTGATGCACTCCTAGAAAAGCCTGTGAGGATGAAACAAAAAGAAAAAAAAAAATCCCTTTTTTTTTCTTTGTTACATTTGCTGTGACAAACAGCCAGGTAGATTGACTCTCATCTAGGAGTGACTCAAACAGAACCAGTACTCGTCCCTGTCTCTGATATTCTTTGAAGAATATTTCAGAAACTTCTCATTTGACACTGTAAATGTTTGCATCTGGAGAAGTGGAGTCAAGAAAAACTGGAGGTAACCTTACAGGCAGGAAATTAAACAAGGGATATCCAAACATGGCCTCTAATTTAAACATTAAAACTATTTTATACCGCTGACGGAAACAAAGTAACCCAAACATTTTCACAAGAAAAATATATTCACATCATATTGCATAAATATGTGCTGGAATGAGGTTAATGAATATAGATTAATAGAATCTCTCTCCCAGTATGGGCTGTATGTGTCATGCAATTAGCCCCAGTGCTCAGTAACGGATGAGGGAAACAAAATACAGAGACATGAGTTTAAAATAATTTCCACCTGTCATGAGTCAATAAATTTGTTTCTGCAAAAAAATTTAAGTGGTACTGTTTACCCATTGTGAAGGTACTGCAGCCTTACAAAGCAAGTGAATGCTACACAAATTGCATGAAGCAGAGGTTGCATTATCTGTGTATGACGCTCTATATAATAATAACCCACTTTCATGTTGTAATTTATCCATAATCAGGAAAACAAATACGTCTTTGCAGGCAGAATTCAAGTAATGTGACACGTGACTGTTTCATTCTAACCACTTAATTTAACATTTTACCACGATATTCCTTAATGTGATAAGCCCAAAATATATAAGAGGTAACTAATGTATTGTACAGTACAATAATACAATAACAGCAGCACAGACTGAGTTACCATGAGCCAAAGAAACGCTCTGTAACAGAAAGTAAAAAATAAATGACATTGGCAAAGTATTCGGAGTGTAACAGCATAAAGAAAAGAAAAGAAAGCAGATTTAAATATTGGCAAATAGGATGTAAAGATGAATGCATTAAGATACACAACTCAGGAGATGAGGGGGAATGTTTCTCGACTCTGGGCGAATTCAATAGGACAAAACATTCGGAGTTTACCTGCTTACAAACATTAGAATCAAATGCAGGAAATACATGTGGTACTGGTGTGTTTGTAAATCACTTGCTCCTCCTATGAATGTTTGTATCCTATTAAAAAGCCTGAGTGATAAATGCAAACACAAATTGTGGAAAACAACCCGCATCCTCTGTAGTAGTGTACAGTACATGTAGAGCTTTGGAAGCTTGGAGTTGGAAAGCAGTAAGCCACAGGACAGAGGGCGCGATCATGGCGCCAGCTGAGGTAGTAGTTTGACTGAATATGAACTTCCCAGGGACCCATGGTGGCAGCCTGAAGAGAGAGGTGTAGCTACCGGTAAACCCGAGTCACTGGGCTGGCGGAGTGGACCAGAGAGGAGGGGGCTGTGGCTACAGAGTCCCCACTCCCATCACTGAAGGTCCATGTGCAAAAGATCTTTTTTCCTCAAAGGAAGTATAACTGCTCCTACAAGAATGAACCGTGTTAAATCTCTTTACAACATGCTTTTATGTCATCATCCATACAATGAGAAACATTCTCAACCCTGTTTCCAAGGTTTTCTAGACTGTAATAAATTAGAAACTGATGTAGTTTTTGTTGTATTTAATATCGCAGTTTGTGTGAAGCTGTTCGACACAGAAGATGCTGGGAGTAAACCAGCTCGGAATGGTTCACTGTGACCACGGCAGAGGTTAATGATGCTGCTTAGAAGCCAGTTTGTTGTCCCCCCCCTTCCCTCAGTGGCCTGGTCCAATTAGGGCAACTTCATGAACAGACCATTATCGATGGAAGGGACAGGCATAGGACAGGGGAACTGAAAGAGACTCATGTCTGCTGTGAGAGCAGCCATCGCAGCAGGATCATGCTCTATCTGTGTCCTCAGAGCAGGGTCGATCTTCTCCAAGCGTCGCTTGATCCTCTTTGCCTCCCTCTCGCGGATCAGCCTGGCTTGCCTCTTCTCAGGCGTCTCGTTGGCCCTCTTTAAACGCATGGCCTCCCTGTCTCGCTGCAGCCTGCGTGCCCTCTGCTCCTCCGTTTCCTGCATCCTCTGCATGCGCTTGGCCTCCCGGTCCCGCAGCCTCCTCAGTTCCCTCTCCTCATCCGTCTCACACGCCCGCTTGTTCTTCTTTGCCGTGCGCTCACGCTCTAGACGCTGCAAGCGAGCCTCCAAGGGCTCGTTCTTCCTACGCAGAGCCCATTTTCGCAGCGGCGACTGGGCCTCCACTAACTGCTGATAGGCCACACAGCTGTTGCACACCAGCAGCACCCCGGCAGGATACACAGGCATAGGGCTTAGGATGTCGGGGATAGGAGGAAGGCCTGAGGAAGAGGAGTTAAGAGCATCAGGGATAGATGCGAGCGATGGCCCTTCAGAGAGGAGACTGTCGGGCAGTGAAGGAAAGGATGGTCCTTGGTCAGAGCCTGTGCACGGCCCTGGGCCTGAGCACGGTCCAGATCCTGGGCCTGCGCCATGACATGATCTGGGGCCTTGACACTGGCTCGACATGTGGCCAGGTCCCTGGCAGGTACGATGGCCTTGACATAAGTTGGGGCTGGGGTCAGGTGCTTGACATGAGCGTGGACCCTGACATGAACTGGGGCTGGGGCCTGGTCCATGGCAGGAGCGAGTACCGGGCCCAGGGCTGTCCATGGGGCTGCTGGAGAGGGACTGGGACATGGAACAGGCGTCCCTATCATCGCTGACATCCATCCTGGTTGTGTCGAGGACATCTTTAAGCTTCTCCCTGGGATAGGGGACAGAATTAATCAGCTTGGTTAAAGCAAAACATTCTTTCTTCGAAACATGATAATTTCTTCTTTCCTGAATCTGATCTGATTCTGTCTTCACTCTTGAACTGGTCAAACTGCAGCTGAGTGAGGCACAATTTAAAATTTAACTGCTTAGACGTGAATGTTAGAACTTAATGGCACTTTTTCAGATATAGCTTTCATTGTTTCGATTCATATTTAACTCTCAAGACACATATCACCTCCTACATTCTTTATTTTACAAGTCATATAACAATGTGTTTTTTTCCCTCTCCAACACTAATGATCAAATCATACTGCCCACACCTTGTGTCCAAGCTACTGCCACCAGTCTGTACCGTCACATCTTTTTAGATGACTGACATGACTTTAAACTATTTTGTCTAAAAAAGGAAAAGATGACTCATTTCATCTTAGTTCCCCAAGTATTTGTTACAGAGAAGAGCAACACTCTGTCACCAGACCTGTGGTTAACTAAGAGAGAGGTTGTGCACACTATTACCACCCTTACAGGAGGTGACAGATAACACTATGGGGACAAAACATGAATGACATATGCTTTCAGAGTTACTTCACAGTTAACTGTAGCTGGCTGTAAAAACATCAAATGGCTGTTCCACACATATCTAACATGCAACCTCTGTAGATCTGTATATCTGTGTTTATTTATTTTAATCTAATTTATACGTACTTATGGCGTTATCTATCTTACCTGAAACTGCAAATCATGATAGCTCATGAATATTTTCTTTTCTCTGCTTTTTCTTTTCACTCCAGTGAAAATCACATTACCACTTCTTACAGTGTTTGTCCTTCTACTGTTTGTTCTGACCTTGTCAGTGCTGTTTAAATTTGAGATGTAATAGTAGTTGCTAAGCAACATGCAAGTTTATTTCCATTAAATCTGTCATTCCAGAACTAATTTTATTCATACCTCCTGTTCTGCATCTGGCTTAATCTCACATTTGGAGAACCACTGCTCCATTGTGTTCAAGTGTGCTGCATTATAGACATATTTTCACCTTTTTTATTTTGTAATGTTGTTTGAGGCGCAAAAAGAAAAACTCCATTCAATCTAAATATTTGCTTACTGAAGAATTGTGACCTTTTCTGACTAATTTTTTAATTTATTCGTTTCACTCCTGCCAAAATCATTTGTGATGTTTTATGAGAAAGCAGCACTATTAAAAACAGATTCTCCTGCTGAATCAGTCATGTCTGCTGCCTTTGTCATATGCTGATAAAGGGATCTTTTGTAAGTTACTGATAGATAATGTTTGAAGTATCAATAAACAAACAGCAAGAATATGATAAGTAACAAAACAGAAAAACACTGAGGTAAACACTGTAATTTTTTTTATTCATTTTGACTTATTGTGTATTTGTCTTTTATGTTCTTGAAAACAGTAGAAGCAGCTGACTTAACAATTTTAACTGCTTAATTATTGGCAATATGTTATGAATGTGAAGTAAAACAGTAAAACATATAAATGCATCTATATATACACATATATACACAGATTAATTCATCTAAATTATCTGTAAACTTCTTCCACTGAAACACATGAAAGCAATGTGCATTAATGACCTCAGACAAGAGCTACAGTAGAAATGAGCCGAACCTGTTAAAGTTGTTGGTGTCTGTGAATCGTGCGCCACAGACAGCGCAGTTGGAGAGGCGGTCCTCCGAGTGGATGAGAAGATGCCGTCCAAGTGAGCCAGGCGAACTCAGGGCTCGCCCACACACTGGGCACACATAGCTCTTGGTGTTGCTCATCATAGTCGTGTGCTGTAAAAGACAGCAAAACAAGATAAGAGCAAGAAACTAGGAAAAAAAAAAATACACATTAAAAGTACACCACCAATATTAAGAGATGACAACCATCTACTTTTCATTGTAGTTGGTTCTCAAAATTTAAAACAAGAACAAAAATAAAACAATGTTTGTATCAATAACCAGACACATGAATAACAAAATTAAGTTGAGCCAGTTTTCAAAATAAAGTCTCCAAGTAAAAACTAAATGACAGGACATTTCACATACAGTTTTACAAATAATTTGAGCAGCATTCAAATGTGGTACTACAGTATGTGGACTACTCAGTGCCAAGAACTGGTCTTGCAGTTATTTACTTTATCACCGTTTAATTACCACTGTAACAGCGTACGGTTCACAAGGGTTAGATCGGCAGATGCTGTAGTAATCGCTAAACATTGCGGTGATGGAATGCACACTCATCTTTCAGCAACTTTAAGGACCATAAACTGCGTGGCATTTGCAAAAAAAAAAAGAAAAGAAAAAAAAACAGCTAGATCGTCGATGCTGTGAGTTCTGAAAATGCTGAAGTAAGGTATAAATCATCTACTGAATGTGAAGTGACACACTGGTGAAGACACGTATAATGAGAATGGAAGGTGTTGATTACTGAGAAATGAGCGATAAAGAGCCTGCAAGAAATGATGAAACGCAACTAGCATTTGAAAGAGAGAATTAGTCACCATTTACAACCAGAAAATATAGAATCATCCTTAAAATATTTGAATCTGATTTTTTTTTATCATTTGAACTGTAACCAATTTAAGATTGTATTAACTTGTAAACCAACTCTAAGCACTAGATTGGATCACACAAGTCAACACCTTCTCCCAGAACCTGCATTTCCCCTAAGTACTGATGCTGAAAGCTACTTAGGGAGCTTTAAAGGTGATGACCTACAGTGGTAGGTACCTTATTAGAAACAAGCTGCAATAAAGGATCTGTACTAGATTAGGACAGACGAGACAATATCGTTTTCACCTGGTAGACATGGGAGATGAGCTTCTCAGGGCTGCTGAAATCCAGCGTGCAGAGAGGACAAACAAAGTTGTTGATGTGGTCTGCCCCTTCCTCGCTCTCCTGAGGAAAACCAAGCACCATTAAAACACATTTTGGGAACAAAATCAGTGCTATATGCGATATGTTATGTGTAAGTATAGCTACATCACAACATCTCTGCCACCTCATTTTCACTTCATAGCAGTGTGACAGGATATCATATCCATTTTGATATTATTTTACAACAATTTGTAAAAGTAGATTAAACCATATTTGAGTTATTGTATACAATCTTATTCGTAGAAGACTCGCTGTTTGTATCTTGACGGGTGTGATTTAAGTATCAAACTGAAGCGGGCCTTTGTGGAGTCATTACTCCTTTCACCTTTCCAGTTGAAGCATTTCTGCAAGTCTTAGATGATGATGTGTTGAATGTATGAATGAGCAAAATTCTCACAAGCCCTAGTGACTCACTGAGGGTGACATGATGCTGTGTGCTGTCACAGATGTGACTCACACACAAGCTGAAATACAGAACCTTTTCAAACAGAAGGTCTGAGCATAAAACATATTGGTGGCTACCAGGGGTGTTCTCTTCAAGTCTATCACAAGTCCATTCAAGTGTTTGTCATTTTTATTTTCAGTTTTTATAAATTGGGTAGCAGTCTACTTATCAGCCACGACAGCAAGGCTGGTATTGTTTTCACCTTGTGAGTCTGTGTGAGTCTGTGTGAGTCTGTGTGAGTCTGTTTGTGTGAGTGTGTGTGTCTCATCATGGCAAAATGTAGTCCTGGAGACACCTACTGTAGCGGAAGCTACCACAGCGGTGATTTTGAGTAATTTGGCAGGTCTTTATATATCTGTCGCTCTGGAGATTTTTTCAGCATGATAGCATCACAATTGTGCAAGCTACAGTCTACAGTAGATGTAGCTGAGATCACAATGAAGGCCAAGCATGAAAATGGGTGTGGTTTGAGCCATGAGTAATGAGTAGTCATGTAATAATGTAGTAATGACTACAGAGTAGTCGGAACATCAACATGTTGACGGGCACCACGGCTGTTTGATCCCATTGCAAGATGGTCTCTATCTTCCATCAGTTTGTATTTTAAAGTTATAACAGATGATCTGATGAGAAGGAACCACCGTGAAAATGGCACATACGACAGATATCTGTTCAAATGATCTGCTATTTTTCTCTAACTTGGGCAACACATTAGCTATGAAAACCACAGTTAAATGGACCTGTGGAGGAACTTAAGCTAAACCCATTAAAACTGCAGCAAATACTGCAATACTACATTCTAATAACTAATATTTCACACAGAGAACATCTATACCCAAATTAAAATTCACATCAACTGCTGCTTCACGCACTGGTGATGGATGACAAACCCTCTGGCTATTAAGCTTATGATCACCACAGCCTACAAAAGGCTTGTCACCATTGCAGCCACATTTCTAAACATGCTAGAAACATGCTATGCACCACATAACTCAAAATGAAACTGGGCCTGCATAGAGATGAAGGGCAGATCCTTGTCAATAATTTATCTCTGTGGAGTTTTGTTTGCACGTTCATGCCGCACCACCGCAGTGTAATATATATAGGCAGCACTCAAACTAATTAAAGACGAGGCCAAAGATTATGAACAAAATAAACAATACCACTATGAAAAGAACTAACACTGTGGCACCATCATGAAAACACACCAAGATTAATGTGCTCATTATTTCTCCAGCCCATTTTTTGATGTTTGGTGGGGGTACCAGCCCACTCACCTCTTTGACTCCCGCTCCTTGTAGGCGGCACTGTGTTCTCTTGGTGGTCATGTGGTCGTCAGCTGAGGTGTTGGAGGACGAGTCTTCACCGTGGTTGTCAGGATCACTATCGCTGTCTTCTATGGAGGCAAACACAGCCCTATCAATACAGACAGACAACAAAACACAGAGCAGGGCTTACTCTCACTAACACCCCTCAGTCCGAGGATGTTCCTACAGAGTCCATCCCGTCCTTCTCTGTCCCGTCCCTTTATCCTGTACCTGAGATGCTATCCTGCCCGTGGACTTCCTGGGAGTTGTTGCTGCAGCATTCACTGTCTTCGGTGAATTCGTCCCTGCCATCCATGTTAATAGTGTGCTGAAATCCTGTGATGCCTGAAGTGTGGAATGGCCCTGGAGATAGAGAGACAGTAGCAATCGGAAGATAAGTGTTTCCCATGGGCACGGTGGACTGTTCGGACTGGAGAGAAAAAGTGAGGAGTGCAGTGAGGAGATCTCCCGTGATGCTATTAACAAAAGTCAGGGGATTGTATGGGCTACACCTACAAGAAAATATATGATTAAAACACGAGGAGTGAGCGAGATACAAAAAAGAACAACATATACCGTATATGATATATATGACGATATACATCTATATCATATTGTCTATCATCAGAGATTTGGCAATAACATTTATATTGTGTATCTGCCTGTTTAATATTGTGGGTGTATTTGCCCATGATTGTTATTAGGTTTTTAATATCATTTTTGCATCAATTTAATAAAGTGCTTTGACATTTTTCATATTTACTTTGGTGGATTAGTCAAAAACAGTCATTCCTATCTGGTTATATTCCTCTAATGATTTTACACAAAATGTATTGTATCACTATACTGTATATACGCAATAATATACAGTAATAATATATATTGTATAATTCCAAGCTAAGTACTAAATGAAACTGGTATGACGGGCTAAAGAACTGGAATTAATAAATAGCTATAAATAAATAGCTTTTATGTTTGTAGTTGCATAAAAAGGTGTGGAGCACATGAATGGAAGAACAAGCCTATCTCTGAAGTTTCACAATATAGAAGATTGTTTTTGTATGACAATGTACTGCAATTTCCTGCATACCATGAAGAATACAGGCAGTGTGTGTCTACACACAGACAGACGCCACTATGACTGTGTACCATAGAGGCAGCTCCTGTCGTTGAGGAAATCATTTCACAAACAACCTGCTTTTTAAAATAAGATGAATCATGATATTTAGTATGGAGCTAATGAGCTAATGTCAATAAATTAAGTAAATTAAGTGAGAAGCCTTTTTTACCCATACACTGCATCCTGCATGAGTGCTTTATCTCCTTTGCCACATAGAAACATTTACTGTAAAAGCATACCACAAGAATGTGTGAATTTTTCAACACAAGTGCAGTCACCTATAGCTGAGGGCTCTTGTTTTGTCCGTGATGTTAAAATTCTTTAAGATTTTTGGAGGATATAAAATGTATCCAGGCCTCTCAGAACATTTTGCGATTTGGTTACCACCATGCTCCATGGTGAATGGAATGATCCAGATTATTGCGGTTAACAATATATGGCAACAAAAGAGAAACCTATAATCGGAACAACACAGTCCACCAAAAAATGCCGCTTTCATATGAACAGTCCGACACTGGAACGTAATGAATGCTAAGCCAGCAAGGCAAGCTCACTGACATACGTGCACACACGTTAACTTCATTTGCATCCCAACCCCCATTTTTTCACACACATATACCCTCACAGATACATGCCTGCTCTGTTCGACAGCTATGCTGCAGTCCCACGGGGGAAGCAGGCTGCACTATTTTCCTCTAGCTAACTGCCTTGCAACTCACTGTGTTTCTCTCTCTCTCACTGTCTCTCTCTCAGTACCACCCACACACTGAACAGCCTGGCTCGCCCTCTGTCCTCCCTGCTTGTATGTAGCTCTAGCTACCTCCATATCTATACCATCAGCTCTGAGGGGGAGGATAAAGCTTCATACCATGACAGCCCATATGTGGCTCATTTAACTCCTTGTGATGCTATTCTTTGTTTTATGGTTGCCCTGGTGATTGCAAGATTCGATAAAATACCTTCACTTTTCTTATTATTACACTTGACCCTGTAAGCCTATATTTAACTGCCAAACACTGCTTTATTGGAGACATTTTGTTTGAAAGCTCCTCTGGCATTCACAAGCAAGAACATCCCACTTCCACTTCAGATAGCTGAAATTAATGAAAACTTAAAATCCAATGTTCTTCCCCTGTGTGCTCTCTCTCCATTAACACACAGCAGAGATGGGAGAGAGATCCTGACTTCAGTTACCTGAGTCTGACAGAAGTAATTACAGCCCTTGTCACAATCCTGAGGTATTGCGCGAGCCCGCGCGCACACACACACACACACACANCAGCTTGTCCACGAAGCGACTGTCCAACCCCAGCGTCTTGTTGGTGTGATTGTAGGACAGGCGGTCATCGTGCCAGCTCTGCCGCAGGAACACGGTCATGGTGTATTCCTGCCAGGAACAACAACACACGTGCACGTGGACACACACACACACACACACACACACACACTCTCTCTCTCTCTCTTTCTGTATATTGGAGGAAAACAGTAGTATAATCTTGAGGTTTGTCAATCTACTATTTTGCTACTATTGGCTGCTACTGGCGAGAAGTTGGTATGTGAACGCAGTTTGGGCACTTTTCCCACAGAAATGCAAGCATTCATAGCACTGGTAGAGTGGGGTCGGAGTATTGAACTATGAACTACTACAACAAGCTTGCTTCACGGCACATAGCCAATGATTGATGTGTGAGAGATACCCATCCCCCCACTGCTAGGGCTCTGTCTGTACATCTGTCTCTCCTCGACCCCCCCCCCTCCCTCAGTCTCTGCCACTGTGATGTTATCTCTGAGTCTGTGTGTCTGTAGGCAGGAGGTGACGCAGTGTCTGACTGAATCCAGACAAAGAGACAAACTCATCAGCCAACAGACACACAGAAGAGGGAGAGAAGAGGAGGAGGAGGGAGGGGAGGGTATGGGGGGGGTAAGCGCGCAAAACAAAACAGACAAAAGATAGAATGCCAAAACTCTACTCAAACACCAAGCAATGGGGGTCCTGTTGAATTCAACCCCCCCCCCCTTCTTCTTTTCAGCCGCCGTCCCCTCCAAAACACACACACGCAGACACACAACACTGTCTGAATCTGCAGGAAGTGCAGGGGCCTCTGTCTTCCATCCCCACACACACACACACACACACACACACACACACACACACACACACACACACACACACACACACACACACACACACACACACACACACACACACACACAGAGGATGGTGGGCCAGACATCTGATCAATTCTCACTCTGATTAACTGGTGACCTGATATTACAGAGAAGAGGATGAAGTGATTAACCATTTTTCTTGAAGAATACTTTCTCTGGTTAGTTTGCTTCCTGGTATTAACCTCAGTTCTCCTTGAGTTTTCCTTCTGCTTGGTGATTACAAAAAAAAAGTAATATTTACATACTTTGATTCGGCCACAAGATTACACTGTCATCATGAAAGCACACAGCCATCACATATAATCAGGAAACATTTGTGCTGAGGTGCTGCAGCACATGTGGGGGAAACATCTTATTTTTGATTCTTTGAAAACCAAGTTCAGATACTTGAGAGAAACAGGTGCACAAAAGGCTGGACTTAAAACTGTACTTTTCACATGAGATGAAATGTAATAAACAAGAAGAAGTTCTGTAAGCAAAGATGTGTCCACTTACTCAAAAATATTAAATGTTTTTAGTTTTTAACTTTTAACTCAAAGAAACAGAGTTTTTCAGGGTGTATACTGAAACCACAGTAGTAGATCCACCTATACTGTTACACAAACTAACTATTTATGTCAACCTGAAGGACTCATTCCCCTTTTCTGCAGAGAGCATGCAGTAACTTCGATCCTAATTAACTCTTACATAATGCTGTTTCTCCTGGTGTTGTTGTACATCAAACTTAAGGAGGAAAACAAATAACAACACAGACAGGACTGATGTATTATTGTCTGGAATTCCCTGTGTGTGTATGTGTGTGTGTGTGTGTGTGTGTGTGTGTGTGTGTGTGTGTGTCCGCCCGCCTGCCTGCCTGCCTGTCAGACTGTCTCCCTGCCTGTCTGGTCTGTCAGTCTGTCTGTCTGGTCTGACGCTCTCTGGGGGGGGGGCAGCTCTGTGCATGTGATTCATAATTCACATGAAAAGGCAGGTACAACAATCAAGGCAAAGCAAAAGAAATTCAATGTACACAACATGGTGCCTGGACACTCCAGTGATATGGCGGGAGGTACGGCTTGTCAGTTGAAAAAGTGTTGTGGCATTTGTCACAGCATGAAGTGCACTAACATATGCTAACACTGCATTGTATGGGGCCCTCCTGAGAGTTTTCAGCTCCCACTCTGGGCTCTTGTAGAGGTGTTACAGAGCAGCAACTGAGCTAATTAGCTCAAAGGGATTACTGCAGTCGCAAGTGCAAGATGTATTTCAACAGCAGTTTAAATAAACTATGTTTAGAAAGGAGGGCTGCAGCACACATAACTTCAGTAGATTACACTGGGAAATCCCCTTCTGTGGAGTGAGGAGTATTTAAGAGGTCAGCATGCTGTCCACCAACAAGGGGATCTAGGGGGCAGAAAGGCCAGAGGCAACGCCACGAGGGGGGAACACCAACAATGTACCCACATCAGGGGTCTCCCCAGAATTCCTGCTATCCGTTTCAGTACAATCAATTTGATATAAATTGTAAGTTGAAAGATGATACTAGAGGCTGCAAACCAACTAACGGTTATTTTCATTATTGATAAATCTTCTGATTATTTTTCAATTAATCGATTAATGATTAGGCCCATGAATGTCAGAAAATAGTGAAAATTAATTTCCCACAGCCCAAGATGACATCTTCAAACAGACTACTTTATCTGACCAACAGTCCAAGCCTTACAAATATTCAGTTTACAATGATATCAGAGATAAACAGCAGATAGAGATGCTGACACTAGATGATGTTTGGTGTTTTTGCTTGGAAAGCTTGATTATCAAAATTGTTGCCAGTTAATTCTCTGTGAATTAACTAATCGATCCTTCAACTAAGTTTTAGTTAGAAAATATGCATAAATAGACTTAGTGCAGCAAGAAATACTGTAAATAATTCATTCTAAAAAGGAAGAAAGGGAGAAACAGAAACACTGATTTCAGCAAAAGCTGTCATCTTAAGACACAAAGCAATATCACCTATTTTGAATAGCTGGCGCTTTAATCAGTTTTGCTGACTATGTGCTCTCAATTGCTTTCCTGTAATCTTGTACTGAAACTGACATGTCAGAGCAAACTGAACTGACATCAAGCAGATCCCCAGAGTGTAAAAGCTGAAACGCTTGGGTGTGACTTTAAGCCTCTTCATAACAGCTATGACATATTCTTGTCAAATTAATCTACAGAAATGAACAAACAGAAATATGGTTAGCCACAAGGCCTGACATACGCAAACTAACTAGAGGAAGATGTTATCAGAAGGCTTCTTATGAATCAGTCTACTTAGTAAACACACAAATGAATGATATGCATTATGAATCTAGCAGCATGGCACTCAAAGTTTGCACAAATGATACATTTGAAAACAGAGATGTTTACATGATTAGGTTGCAAGACCATGTATCTCATGTTTGGCAAGAGCTGAACGTGATGACCATGATTCTACATTACCAGTATATGAATATTGCTGAGTTTGTCAAAGTATTAACTTTAAGTAAGTACTGAATGTTTTCTAATGCCTTTTTGTATGTTTATTTATTTATTTTTACTTATTGACTGGGTAACTTATCATTTAATTTTTTATTGTATTTACCTAGAATTTAAGTTTAATTAATAGTTTACTTCTACTATGTCCATATAACTCCAGAACAAGAGGCGAAATAATCAAAAGGAAAAAAAAAAATCATAGATCAGCCAATAAAGACTCGTGCTGTATTGTCACACTACAAACTACAAGCCAAAATGAAAGTGAGATATCCATCACCACTCTGACAAGGAAACGTTTTCATGCAAACCCAAATCTATAAAAATACCTATGATACTTAAATGTAAGCTGCTAACATAAAATAACACGACAGAGTATGTAATGGTATGCCATGATGAACCCTGTGTCTTGATGGTTTAATATATTACGGAAAGTAATTAAAACACTGTGCGCAAACGAAAAAAATAAAAAATAAAATCAATATATTCCTGTCAAACAATCAAAGAATAGACGGATAATGGACGTGACATGGATAAGTAACTCGTGGAATGGCATTAGACGATACCTGGAATACCTACAGTTAACTTTGAAGGGGTTGGTCTGTTTTCGCCTGGACATATTATTGCCCACTCCCGGTAAGAAAAAAAAAACTGGTATCTCCTCCTCACCCTGGACTGTTACACAGAGACCATCCAGGTGTATTCCGCGCTATGAGGACAGATGATGAACGAAATACTAATACATAAAAAAAATCTGATCAAATCAATTACTCGGTCTTTTTCTTGGGTTAAAAAAAATAAAAAAAACGGATTCGTAAAAGCGTCACATTCTTGCAGCCGTTAAGAGAGCCCCGTCTCCAGTCGACCAGGGGGGTTAAAATGATGTCCAGAGACACACCGAGCAGCCCCGAGCCGCTCCGATCCCGAGTAGCTGGCACCCGTGCACTCACTGCAGCGATGCACGAGCTCAGCTGATCTCTAACGTAAAACCGATGAAGCCACACCGAACAGGATTGTGGGATATGCAGGGGCGATGGGGAGTTCATGTTAAAGATACTCTGCTGCGTTCAAGTCGTGTGGGAGAAAAGACGACGATGTACAAAAACCTCACTTTTTAAAGGCAAGTCATAATACCTAGAAATGTGTGTGTGTGTAGGTGTATATATATATATACACACAGGCACACACACATATATATACACTCACACGCACGCACGCACACGCATATATATATGTTGACTTGAGGTGACAGTTTCAGAATGACCAAATGTATATTTGGCATTTCCGTACTTCAATTTGTGTTAGTAACTGGCCAAAACCATATAGGCTATAATTTTTGATATTCTGTATCTTTAATAAGAATATGGGCTGATAGTAATAATAAGCAGTGTATAAGTCTGATTGTCACTAGGATGCGTCTTACTAAACAGGACTGTGGATGTAGATGCAATGAAAACTGTTGATAGCATGGATTACTCACAGTAACCAGAAAACTGTTTCTGGAAAACCATATTGCTGTTCAAAATTTCTAATTCTTTTTTTAAAATGCTGAAAGCATGCAAAATTTAATTCCACTCACATCCATTAAAATATTGTTTTGGGTAGCAGCAGAAATCTAAGAGGTAGGTATCTCAAAACCTGGTCTCGTTAAACCAAAACCATCAACATGGTTATATACTACTTGTTATTATTATAATATATATGTTTAGATTATAATACAATATATATCTTTATAATATATTTTTGATTAAACATGTTTTGTTATTTAGATGTACAGACCCTTTAAACTTAAGATGCTGTTCACAGGTTTTGAATTTTACTCAGCAAAGTTATGAGGGTAACTTTGTATTCCTGCGGTGTGAGATAGGCCTGTGTGAGTGAGTGTTGGTAGGAGTGCTGTTTATTCACCCAGATGATAAGTCTCTGGCCAAGCAGGAAGCAGGCCGAAGTTTAAAGACTGTTATAACAGTGCTGTATAATATTCAGAAAAAAAGTCTTGAGGCCACATTTCCAATAGGAAAAGCCACATTGACTAATATCATCATACACAACAATTAGCATCAATATCTCCACTCACCATTATATGTTTTGCTGTGGAATTTTAAAACCAACCTGTTCATTTTCTGCCACAGTCTGACCAGGTGTCAGTTTATGGGTACTCTTGATAATCTCTATATAAATGTTGGCTGAATATTGATAGCTATGGTTAATAATATCTAACATTTTTCACTGCAAGCCATGTCTTAACGCGTCCTTTACTCCTTAATTCACAGCAACACTTGGGTTGTAATTCTGTCAACAGGCTAAGAAAATTTCACTTGTTCCTTGAGAAGCTCTGTTCATTTCAAGAATTTGCAAGAAATAAAAGTCTGTATCTTGAAACAGGATGGACATTTGTCAAAGTAAGTCATTAGCTAACATTTTTTCCAGTGTTTCCATATGAAATGAAAACAACTAGAAGAATGTAAGAAGGTACTTTCCACCTCTGACTCCCCATCCAGCAGATTTCCTGCTTTGCTCCTACAGTTTTATGATCATTTTAACACAGTCAGGCTCCAAGCACATGCACAACAGGTTCAAGTCCTCAAATCACATAACAATCGCTGCATCTAATCCTAGGATTGTTAAAAGGACATTGGATAATCTTCATATATGACACTAACATTGCTTTTTGTTACACCACTTTGATTGTTGTTTTTGTAATTTAATCATTCATTACACCTAACTGCAACAGTATGTTATTTCCATCTGACTTTACGTTTGATCATAATGACTTTGAATACCATTCCCAACTTGACTAGCTTGATTTCAACCTTAATCTAAATGTTACCCTGTATCCAGCTTTTACTTACTTAGACCTGATGCGGTATCTACAGAGTTAACAAAGCATTAACCAAGCCCAACCTAAGGCACCATTTCTTGGACAGCACAGTATCAACACTAGAGGGCGCTCCCAACCACTGGACTGCTAATGTCATAACATTACATGTAGTCGTCATCACTGACTGCCACGAGTAAACGGACCGCAGCACGACATTGACAGGGTAAAAATGTATTCCTCCGCAAGGATAAGAGAAAATATGCCATCTCAACAAAACAATCTCATCGTGTCATTAAATTTACGACGTTTGCATGACAAGTGACCGATGCTATACATTAACGTCCAGACTGAAAGCCATGTTATGCACATTTATTTAGGGTCAAACAGCCAATCAGATCAATGAGATAACGTTAACGTAAGCTAGCTGGCTAACGTTAACAAGCCTAACGTTAGCCCTTTATTGTCAATGCGAGAATGATGGAAGAGAAGAAGCTTACTAGCTAGACAGCAACTAGCAAGTGATAAGCAGGATTAAAAGTACAGTCACCTAGCTATATTTCTCATGACCATCAAGACACAATTCAACTATTACCCATGGTGTCCAGTGAACACTGGCATATCAGATGGGAGTCCCGGGCAGAGGTCCTGTGGTACGAGCTAAGGTTAGTGTACGTTGGTGATGAGGTTGAGCTCGGTGCGACAGCCAGTCCGCGCTTCTTTCACAAACCTCTGGGATATGTCAGTGTAACCCTCCGCCTGCGGTAGATGTGCTGAGGCTGGAGTAGCCACCATTTTGCATGTCTAGTGTGTTCCTCCCTCCATTGCTAATAGAGACGATTCCAGTCATTTTCTGGCATCACTACGGCTAGTAAGTATCTTTTAAGAATAATATGTCGGCATAAATGTATGAAAATGTCTTTACGTGTGAGTAATCACCAGTGGTTTGGTTGTATCTACGTTGACAACTCTCACTGTGGCGCTGCATAGGAAGTCGCAGCCTTCAGTGCACCGGGGTTGTGCCTGTCAGCAGCTAAGTTAGCTAGCATGATTAGCATACCCTTTTAGCTGTAGCCTGGCTAACTACCTGCTGTGCTAGGGATGTATAGCTCCATAGCCATTTATGTTGTTTGGTCGCCCATTAAGTCATAATCGTCGTGACAACGCGCAATGCTGAATTGATGTTTTATATCTTTCTAGCAAGGTAATGCAAGTGCTACTTTCTTATCAGTTGTAATAGTATTCGGATTAAGTAATACAGAAACAAACGAGTGGCCAGGTAGCAAGCTAACGCCACAGAGGACTCGCTAGCTTGATAATCCAAATGCTTCAAGAAGGCCTGAACTGCATCATGTCCTGATCAATCGGCGATCAGATTCAGGTGTCATGCCCAGCCTGTAATGGCCTCTGGTTTCAGTTCGACAATACTGTCCAATGCTGTTGACTTTCAAACTTTCATTTCACTAAATAATGTCAGCCAAGGTGACGGTACTGCTGAGGTGTCATCCTGATATGTTGCCCTTTCTCTGAAAATACGAGTGTGTACCAGTGTTAGCTCATCGTTAGCTGACTTTTGCTAGGTGTAATATGCGTTAGCTAAGTTACACTAAGCATTTGATGTTTGGCTGTAAGCCTCGTAATGACATCAGACTTTCCTAACATTTGACAAATTGTAAACATTTCAGTCGTTAGTCAACATTGCATGTGGATACAACTGAAGCCAACGATAGATAGCTTCATGTGTTAAAGACGTTGATTGATTTTTGCTTTAGTTTCCTAAGTTATAGTCTCAACATTTTAATCAAGAAGGTAGCAAAGATACACACATTTTAATAATGCATATATCTAGTCTGAGGAACACCCGTTTTGTGGAACATTTAGTAGGTTAACGTTAAGGAAGTCAGCTGTAAGTAGGAAGCAAGCAAATGAGTGACGTACAATGTAGGTGATTCCTGTACATCTTCGTCAGATCCCTTTTTATGTGAACGATTTATGCATTGCCTTTCCGAAATATCAACTACCTCACTACTATTCACTGTTTGAAATGTGACAGTTATCTAACATTTACCTATGTTGAAGTCCAAGATTCAACAGAATCCAGAGTTCTCCTTCTGTGTTGAATAATTCAGTATCATAACATGATGACCTGTTAAGCTTGAAACAATACAGCTATGACCTTAATTAAAACCACTTCACCTTTACCTCTGCTGACAGTGGCATTGTGACTAACTTAGTGGCATAATGGCAGGTGCATCAAGTAGAGCTTTATTTCCAGTGGGTGTTAGCATTTAGTGTTTTCTTTTTGACATTTTGCATTTAAATATCCACACTTTGCTAGTGATCCATTCATAGTATAAAGTGAGCATTGCCATTGTCTTGGTAGCACATTTGATATTTAACATACACCCTCACAGCAGCAGAAGCCCCATAATGGTGGTGGAGAAAGTACTGTAGAAGCATTAGTAGTAGAATTGGTTGTTTTGAAAGCTTTGCCTGCTGGCTAGTTTGCAGCCCAACAAAGCCAAATAAATAACTGTTTGTATAAGTTAACTGAGCCAGTATCTTGGAGGTAAAAAGATGAGCACTAAGGACATGAACTTTTGTTTGCACACAGCTAGTTCTTCATTGGACCTCCATGATGCCACCATCAGTTGTCGACTGGAGACCTGTTGTGCAACTGGAGAGCCTCTACAGGTTCACCTATTAATTCAAATGAGAGCCAAATAGTTAGAATTTAGCTCAGTAATGGCTCTCTGCTGTTTCTGCTGATCACCAGGGTTTGAGCACATTCTTCAAGAAATTTCTCATACATTTAACAGTGTCTTCAACAGATTGAGAATTTATATGTGGTAGTGGACACTGGTTGGAGGAGGAATGTGGGGCGACTGCAAACAGTGTTGTATTCATGAGCTAACTAATGTTTACACATGAATGTTAACAATGTGGCAGTTTTTTTCAATCTGTCTGTACTCCACCTAGATGTTTGAAAAGAAGAAATTATAAAATTAAAAACAATTAAACCTCCAAACTCTAATTGGGTGGGCCACCCAAAAATGTATACATGTGAAACACTGGTCATCATATTTTGACTATCAAATACATTTTATATCCTCTACTAAGGTGCAGGACTCAACATTTGAATGTGCATTAACGAAGCAAAGTATAGATGGAAAACATAAAAGCTGACTCACTACCTGTTTTCTATAATTTTGCTTGTTGTTTGCTTGCATGCTTGTTCTTCAGCATTGTGTGTTTATGCAGTTTTTTCAATTCTTTGTGGCTATGCAGAGCTGATCACTTAGAGTTGGTGAAATAAGAAGGAACAGAGTGGTCTGCTTTGATGGTGTTTATAACATCTGTGTACATAGCTGAGCACATACAGAAAATGAAGAGAAAAAGTGAAGGTTATAACAGCCTGTCAAATTGAGAAGGGAGAATGCTTCTCCCCAGTGGTAGCTCTGTATATTTTTCATCTTGCAGCCATCTGATGGTCTTTTTTTATCTCGTTTAACTGTGCAATTCTTACCCGACAAAGACAGTAGCAGTGGAGCTTACATCTGTGCTTTGAATTCTTCACCACACAATCCTCATGGCATACAGTAGTCTAATGTAAAACCCCCTTTAACTGTGTTTTATCTCCTGATGTTTCTAGTATGCCTTCTCAGGCTCGACAGGTTGGCTGCTCCCTGTGGTAAAAGGGAGGTGTGGAATGCTTTTTGCTTGTTGCTGGTTGTCAGGCTCTGAAGGCTAATCTAGACTGAGTCTCCAAATCTCATGAGAGGAAAAGCTTGTTATCAACATTTCAGAATACATGTAAAGTACACCTATATAGCAAAGATGTGTTTATGATATTGTATTGAGTTTTTTTGTTAGTTTTGTTTTGAGTAAATGACCCATAGTGTTAGTCAGGTTGCTGCGGGCATTTTGTCATGGCACATTTTAGATGAGATCTGTGCTTTCCTTTTTTTATTTAATTTATTTTATGTTTTTCCAACTTTTTTGCAGACCTGCAGCTTTTGCCATTGTAAATCTTGGGTCAGATATCCTCAGGTTTACTTAGTAGTTTTGTCTGACACATCTATATGGGCTGTACTGATGTCGTCTGTGTGGTTACCACCTTAACTGTTCTGCCATATGTATATGGCAGAACAGTTGCCTTTCCATCTTTGTAGTAAGGCTGAATGAAGCTGACCTTGGTGATTGAACCTAATGCTATTGCTGCCCAACTATTGAATATGCTCGCAGCTCGCCCATCCTATAGTCTTTCTAATCAAACTACGATGTATGCAACCCCTCTTTATAAGTTTTGTTTGTTTTTTTTTTTTAAGCCAAAGAGACTTTCGCTTCCCAGAAATAGTAATAAAAGTTATGGCAATTATGGATAATACAAAATATGTTGTGTTTTAATTGTAGTTGAATGTGCCGTTATACTGCAACTGCAAGAATGAGGAACTGTAATTTAATCAGCTCTCAGCAGAGGCTGGATTTACTTTCTTTAATGTGTACACTTTTGATTATAAGCACAGCAAGAGCCCAACACTAGGTCCATTCAGCTCAGGTAATTTAAATGGTGTTAAGACAGACAGTAGATCTCTAGCTTTATTAAAGTGTGGCCTTGCCTGACCACCCTCGCCATTCCTTTAAGATCAAGTGAATTCTTAGATTCTCTACAAACCAACACTTCATTCAACAAAAGATGTCCTCATTCTCTTTATATCTCGATCCTTATTTTCCTGAGTAGACTGGCATAGTTTCAAAGAATTTAATTTGATCCTGTCAGCAGTAGTTAATGATAAGAAAAAGAAAAAAGTTTTTCCATTGGGCCTTCAGGTAAAAATACTGCAACCTCCACAGTATACAGGTTTAAAAAGAGGACTCGGGAGCAACCAGGTATGTCAAACAGATTTAAAGTTGATGTTAGGTTAATTTAAAGCTCGTTCTTCAGTCACCTTAATGCTCAGGCAATGTTCGGAGTTTGTCATGTGGGAACAGGAGCTGGAGTTGATTTTCCATGAAAGGTGCTGTGGCAATTAGCCAGCTCAAGACCTAGTAATGGCAGGGGTTTAGTGAGAACAGAGGCAGTAACATTACTGGACAAATGCTAATAACACACTTGTTATGTGTAACAGTTTAACAGAGCCACAAGACATCTGTTTTTGGTGTTACACTTCATATAGTATCACCTGGTAGTACCACTGAAAATCATAGGGAAAAAAAAAAAATCTTGCCCGCAACGCATCTAACATCCCCTTGGAAGTTTTTCCACTGATGCTTAGCATGACAGCAATACATATGTTATTAAGGTAGCCAGGGTGTAGTACATGTCTAGGGGGAATGGAATCCTCTACCTTACTTGGATAATAAAACAGCAGACAGAATATGACTTCTAACCATCTTTGGATGGCTTGTCAGTTAAGGTTATAGACATGCTTTTAATACACTGGACTTCAAGTACTTATCAGTGTAGGCTCACATTTTCAAGAATTACATTATTCACGAGAAAAGTTGTATATCAGCAATGTCATCCACTAGTTTACTCGTCCTACGATTCGATTTTTTTAAGGTCTTTGCTCTGTCCAAATCCACCTCAGGACTGGGTACATACGTGGAGAAAATGGATTTGCTCGACAAGTAATTGCCATTGTTTCTGTTGCTGGAGCAGCATA